AGGAGACGCAGCAGGGAGACGCCTCCATTCCTCCTCCACCTGCTCCCTCTTCATCATCCTCCTCTTCCTCAGTGGCTCTGTTCTCCTTCAGTAAAACCTCTACAGAAGATTCGGGTCAGAAACGCTCCGGCTCGGCGCCGCTCCCTGCCGGCGTCTCCTTTAACTTCGGGCAGAAGGTGGACGCACCCACCCTGGGGTCCTTGGCGTCCAAACCGACCGTCCCCAGCTTCTCCTTCTCTTCCTCGTCCAATCAGAGCTCCCCGTTCGGAGCAGCTGGACCCTCGGCTGCAGTGTCCTTTGGCGGGACCAAAACTTCAGATGCTCCAGCTGCAGGTCGCCAACAACAACATCTTTGTTCTGGAATATTCTGCTTCAAATTGGACGTTGCTGCTGTTCTTGTTTACTGGAAGAAATCTGAACTTTTTGTTTCTTCTTCCAGACGACAAAGACGAAGAATCGGAGGAGCCTCCCAAACCAGAGGTCAAGGAGGTCAAAGAGGACGACGCCTTCTACTCTAAGAAGTATGTGTGGAAACTCTGGCGGCGGCGCTCAGTCATTTACAGAAATAACGAAGCGTTTCCTCATTTCCATCAGGTGTAAGTTATTCTACAAGAAGGAGACAGAGTTCAAAGAGAAAGGCGTGGGAACGCTGCACCTCAAACGCACCGCTGAGGGGAAGACCCAGATGATCGTCAGAGCCGACACCAACCTGGGTAAAACACCTCCAATTTCCCACACCATCCAGCAGTCAGTAAAAGCGTCCCAAACAAGGAGGAAAGTTCATCTCAGTAAAATCAGGAACTGAAATAATTTCTGGCTCTTATTCTGGTTTTCTGACAAACTGAGTTTAGTGTTTTCATTAACTGACCAATAATCCCCAAAATTAGCAGAAATAAATATTTCACTATTTGAATTTACTGAAATAATTGTATTTTAAATCATTACTGAGATGAACTTGCTTGTTTTATTGTTTCATTCAAGTTTATAGCAACCTGTGCAGAGAAAAATGTATTCAGATCTGACACCAGGTGGCGCTGCAGTGGGAAGCTCTGATAAACTTGAATAGATCGAGTTTTTGCTGAACAATATTAAAGATTTGAACTCAGCTGTAGCACGGTTGGACATGTTAAATTTAAATGTTTTTATTTCATCATCCTCCATGTTCTCAGCAGCTGAATCAGACCCTCAGAATAATTAATACGTAATAAACTATTCAACACACCTGATCAAAGTGGCTCATAAAGGGGCTGCTGACCAGATGAGGCAAATGAAACTTTAATCAGGCATTGCAGGAGCCACCTCAAAGTAGTGGTCACATGGCTCCACCTGCTGGACAAACACAGAAACTGTAGTTAGAGACTGACGTCTGGTTTATTGTAAAACCTTTAGTCTTAGTTGTTTCATCTCACCTTCAGTTGCTTTTAGAGCTTTAAATGGAAGATAAAACTTTAGTGAGTTTTTATTCATCTGTTTTCTAATAAAAGGTTGATTCCTTTTTTTTTTTTTTTCCCGGTCAGGAAACATCCTGCTGAACATCCTTGTGCCGCCCACCCTGCCGTGCTCGCGGGTCGGGAAGAACAACGTCATGGTGGTCTGTGTGCCGAACCCGCCCGTTGACGACAAGAACCCGGGCGTGGCCGTCCCCCTGCTGATCCGAGTGAAGACCGCCGAGGACGCCGACGAGCTCCACAAGACACTGGAGGAGAAAAAAGGCTGAGGCAGAACCAAGCGGCGCTGCCTGAGCCTCCCTGACCCGACCCGACCCGACCTGACCCGACCCACTCACCTTCACTCTGTTCCAACTCATCCTGCTACATCAGCTGTTCAGTCATCATGCTGTGAAATGTTTTTGTTTAAATCTGAAACAGGCCGTAGTGCGACTACATTCCCTCTGGGTCCACGCTGCCGTCCCTGTTCTGATCTGACCGGATGGATCGGGACCGGAGCGCGGATCCAAATGAGTTGGTTTGTTGGAGGAAATTGGGACTGGGGGGGTGAACCTCCAAACAGAGCCAGTCGATTTGGTTTTACAAATTAAACACCTGCAGAAATATTTGCTTTTATATATATTTTAAGGAGCGTTTAGAGTGAATCTGCTGAGTGAATGTTCTGGAAACTATTTATTGTGTCTGCAGGATTTTTACTCTGACAGAAGCTCGAGTGAAACGGTGTGGGAGTGAATCAGAACACTTTTACTCTGTTGTCCTGTAAACATGAACTGTGGCTTTCCAAGTGTCCTTTGTTTGGCCTTCAGGATGAGACTCATTTGTAAAAAATAAAAGGAAACAAACGATTCTGGCTGTCATTACCTGGTTTTGTTTCCAAACTCATCTGAATGACAAGTTAGTTTACAAAGTAAGTAAAGCTCAAAATGTTATTTTAACAACTTCTGTTTTCTATTCCTCATAAGTCAACATGGCCTTTTCAAGCATGTGGATGTATTTGAAATGAGCTTTTTCTGAGTTTTAGTTGTTGCATTTAAAGTCTCGAGTGTTGCAACTGAGTAAAATGTAGAAAAAGCAGGAAGACGGCCATGTGTGTTTTGTTAACGTACCTTATAGTTAAAGTTTCATTTCTTAGGGTAACATTTACTACACCCCCTCATTTAGCTTAATGCATAAAAATACTATTATAAGCATTAATTTAATGCTGGTTTAAGTGCGTTCCAGAATATTCTCCGTCTGCAGGTAAAACAGCCGCATCTCTGCAGCCTGTTAGATTGGGTCACTGCTGAAAGGTTCCTAATATTTCCACCAACACCGACAATATGGCTGCGCAGGTAAACAAAGAAAATCACAAATAAAAGTCATTCTGCCAACAGTTGCATTCAAGGATGCACTTCAAATGTGTAGAGAAGCTAATAAGCGCATCCTGGTTCTCACCATGACTCGCATCGCTTTACAGAAAAACAAAAGAATGCTAACATGTTGCATGTTAGCTTGTTTATCCTGCATATTTACAAAGTCTGCTAAAAATTAAAGCGTGAATGTTCGACCTAATACGGAGTTTATTAACCGTAGAGATCTGCTGCATAATGCGTCTATACAGCAGGTCCTGCGCTTGCCGCGGAGGGGAGAGGAGGAGCGTTAAACTGGGGGACGGAAGTGAACGCAACACCGGAAGTGAACGCAACACCGGCTGTTAAACATGAGGGACGTACAAATGTCAACATCCGGTTACGATGTTTCAAAACGCTGCAATGTTTACGGCAGAATCCCTAAAATCAGTTCAGGAATTTATTAACCAGAACCATCAGTGTCCCGTTAAATTCAGCACAATAGTTAAACTATAAAATTACGAGTTTGTATCATTTGAAAGCGTTTTATGCTCGGATTACTTTGTGGACGTTTCCTAAAACTCATCCAACTCAGAAGTAACTTCAGTTAAAATAGGTTTGAGTCATTAATTACGTTTCTTCCTTTTTAAGGAGAGTAAACTGATTTAGAATTAAGAACATTTCTAAGAAATTTTCAGACCAAATGTCTAATCCTGTGACTTGAACTAAAAAGAATATATACATTTTTTAAATTAACTAGAGTTGCATAACTAGTTACATTTACTTGAGTAACTTTTTGGAAACTATATTTTAGAGTATTTTTACTATCTGTACCTTCTACTTGAGTATTTTTTTTTTAGAATGTATCATTATTCTTGAGTATAAATTTTGGATTCTATACAAAAATTCTATATATTTTTTTTAAATATAAAGATGCATCAAGTTTTATACTTAAATAAATTGTTCCTTTAGTAGTATAATACTTGAGTACAATCTTTATTTAACCATACAGACTATTGGAATCAACGATGGCCAGCATGGTTATGGAGTGAAAACCTTTTTCATTCAGGTGGATCTCGGTACGTTGAAAACCCCAGAATCAACTCGGTCCATGAGCCAGCCAGTAGATCAGGTCCTCCAGCTCGTTGCTCCAGCCATGGTCCTGGTCCCTCTGCAGGAGCCTCTGCCGGGTGAGCATGGCTCTTCTGCTCAGCCGGAAATCCTGCTTCAACTCCGACCCCACGTCAAACCACAGGTGGAGGATGGGAACCCTGTGGTTCAGTCTGAAGATGAACAGTCTGAACATACAAATGAAAAATAACAATCCACAGAAACAGATATTTATTTACTTACAGTAGATTCATTAGTTTAACTCAGTTTTAGTTAGGGCTGAAAAGATTCATTGTGATTAATCAATTATTGAAGTAAGCATCAACTAGTAATCGATTAATTGTTAACTGAAGTACTCACTGTCAGAGGAGTAATTAAAGTTAAAAGTGAACTAAATATTTAACCATTTTGCATATAAACTAATAATACAATCCTTTGTTTGTAAATATGTTTTACACAGAAATCTTCTAGTGGCAATTTTAGTTTCACCTGAATAGAAACAATCTCCTTTTAGGTACCTTCGACTGTCCAGTTATTTATTGGTCAACAAATTTACTTTTAATGTTATTCAAAAACGGCTTAAGTAAAAAATCACCAGAATGAGCCTCTATTAAAAATCCGATGAATAATCAGAAAGCAAAATGATTTGCAGTTAAAGGAAATGCAGTTTAAAAAAAATCAAGCTAAATTAAATTTAATTTTCTGGTCTGAAACTCAGAGCAACAGTTATCCAATAAGAAAACCAGTGGATTGTATTTTTTTCATCCTGATATTTAAAATGTATTTTTGCTTTATTATTACTGAACTGTTGTTGAGCAGGTGGGTTTACAGGCTTTTAGTCCTGATATAAAGGCTCAGCCCACCGTGACCCGCCAGCAGCAGCAGCAGCAGCAGCAGCAGCAGCAGCAGCAGCGGGTGTCGAAGCCGTTTTCTTCTGTAGCTAAAGCATGAAGTACGGAGAGGACGGCATGACGTCAGAACTGCGACATAAACACAAAACACGCCGCGTCTGTTTACATAGGAGAAGAACGGGAGACTTCCTGAGGGGGCGTGGTCACAACGGGTGGTCAAAGTGAAGTAAAAGCAGAGGTAATTAGAGTCAAAAGAGACAAAATATTTTTTCTGCTAATGTGTATTCCAATAAATAAATACAGGAAAATGTAGAGTTTGTAAAGTGAGCAACAGAAGAAGACGACCGCCAACATGCACAATAACTGTGTACAAAAGCTGTGATGTACGAACACGTCAACACAACATCTCAACAGCTTCCAAAAGGCCCTAAAAGCGTTTTACAGTGCAAACCGTGTCCTCAGTCATACGTCTCTGGGTTAAAGCAGTCTTTGCTTCTGATCGGCAAGGATACATTCAGCTGGCAGCTCCACCAACTACATCATCAATGACACTGAAGAGACGAGCCTGGATCTCCTGGACCGAGGAAAAACTTTACAACTTACACACAACACTGATGAAAAGCAAACTTTGATCAATGAAAAGTACAGACAAATCTGATCGATAACAGCTGACGGGTGAGTTAACTGGTTACCTGCTGAACAGGTAAAAAATAAAGCATGAAGTCAAAACATTTTTTAGCACAGAATCTGTGAAGTTTCCAGTGGACAGGTGAGAAGAGCGTAAAGCCTCTGTGCAGTGGCTTGGAGGGAAAATGTTCAAATGTGAACAGAGTGAAAAGAGAAGAAAGTTACACACAGATTTAAGGCTTCAGGAGCACTAGGAGAAAATTAATTCACTTATTTTACATTTACAAACCGTTCAGTTCTACAGTTTTCCCTTTAAAATCTGTTAGTTTTCATTGAAATTCAAGTTTGGAACTGAAGTCAGTTTTGTGTAAAGTCAAGAGACTGAGAATAAAAGCAAACATGTTTGTCATGTTGAAGTTAAAATATTTGCTTTAACTGAAAGTTTTTTTTAGTTGTGACATTTCAGTTGCTTGAAATAAATCCACATATATTTAACTTCATTAAAAAAGCAATAAGTCATCTTAGTGAACAAATAAAAATATGAAAAATATCAAAATTATCTTTCACCAAGATTATTTTCAAAATAAAGTCAAATTAAGAATTCAAGTTAAATTTTTAACAAATTATCTGACCAAACTGTCAAAACAAGAATTTTGAAATAATATTTTGCAAATTTAACTACAGCTACAGTATTTTATTATATAATGTTTATGTAAAAAAAGAGAGAACAACCTGCTTATTGACTGCTTAGTGATCCAAATGTGAACAAAAAATTTATTTTTCCTTAAAGTTACAATTTTACAAATCAATTTCCTTATTGAGAATTTATTCCCAATTTGACATTTTCAACTTTATTACAACTCCCATGAGATTAAAGAGTAAATGCAAAACGTGTATTAGTTCTAACAGGATAAAGTTGGATTTTGACCCAGATGCTTCGTGTTTGTGGCGATAAAATCCCACATGATGGACGGTCAGCCGAACGCAGTGAAGGACATTAGAAAAGAGGAGCTGTGTGACGCGTCGCTCGGCAACAGACGACGGTCTTTAAAAGCACAACCTTCAGTCAAGGCGTCTCAGTGAGTAAAGCAGCAGATATTTACAAGAAAAAACAAACATTCATTTCCCTCTTCCTCCTGGTCAGAGTTCGGCCAATGCCTGTTCACGCTGAGGTCAGATGGTCCGTTTCCACGGAGACAACGTTGGGCTCGGCTGGGCATCGGACAGAAGAGGAGGCACTTCCTGAATGGCTGGTTTGTCTGTGGAGCGTCTCTGCACCTCGGTCGTCTCCTGAGTGAAGCTGGCGATTGATTGCAGGTCTCCGTCCGGCCACCAGGGGGCGCTGCTGTTTCAGTGGCCTGATGGTGGAGGCACTTTGTAAAGATGCTCTGAGGGGGAATCCAGCTCTGTTATGTCATCAGGATGGGCTTCTGCCTCACCTCCAGGATGTCTGCCACACAAACACAAAGAGCAGCTTTCAGGAAACAACTTCAGCTTTTAGAGCCGAACACGGTTCTGTTGGTCAGAGGGAAAATGTTTGTGGCAGAAGTTCTTAGATTTGTTGGTTTGTAACATCTTACAAGCCAGTGAATATCAGAAACAATTAGTTTTAATGAATGAATATGTCAATGACAGCCTAAGTAATTTAATTACTTTTTAGCTACTGTTTTATTTTGATGTATACAAAAGAAAAAAATGCATATTATACTCCTTAATAGGTGAAAAAGTAAAAAGAAAATATGTATATGTCATCATATGTACAAATATATATTTCTTGTCTCTACATAGAGTAGAGACAAGAAATTGTCTGATCCATTCAGTTTATGTTTTATATAATAATACTGTATTTAGACAAAAAAATGCATCCAGCTTGAGAAGGAAGAGTTTTGTGGTTGCCACTATAATTATTTGAATTATGTACAAATATCTATTTTATGATGCATTTTTAAACTACTGATGTCACTCATAACGTGACAATCACTACCAAATCAATATTTTAATTGCTATTCATACTGATAACTTATAAAATATGTGTGCTATTCAGTCATGAATAAATTATACTTAATAATTTTATTAAGTTAATAAACATAATAGTCAGACTATCATGTAAATCTGTTACAGGATAGTTTTACCCTTATGTAATGAAATAAAACATTTCTGTGACAAGTTATCTTAGAAACTGAATTAGGTTCATTCCAAACAGAGAAATATCTGAAGCTAAGAGTTTCACTTTTTAGATTGAAATAAGTTTTTATTTGAATTAGAGAATCTGGTGTGTTTCTCCTGCTGTGGCAGCTCTCCGCCTGCAGGTGGCAGTGTGATGCAGCGCTCTGACCTGTGGTGATGCGGTGCAGCGGCAGCGTGACGTAGGTCAGGTGTGAGTAAAGTAGGAAGTAATCCTCAGCCCGGTTCAGTTTGAGCCAGGATCCGACTAGTGAGCGGCCGGTTCCAGACAGCGAGCGCGACCGAAGGTTGGTGGTCGCGTGAATATCTGAGGAGACAGTCAGTGATGTCACAGTGCAAACGCTCTATAACTACTAACCCAGAACCAGAACCAGAGCTGAAATCTGTCTGAATAAATCATCAGGAAATAAAAACCGGTGAGACCAGTTCACCTTCGTCGTCCTCCTCCCTGAAGAACTCCTCGCTGTCGTTGGCGGAGTGAGACTTCTTCATCTCTGCGATCCTGTTTCTGGGAACTTTTCTCCTCAGCGACGGAGAGAAGAAGGACGGACGGTTCCTCTCTGGGGTCGGAGGCGTGCTGAACGACGTCACCTGACAACAGCCACGATCATCACAGGAGGCCGATGAGAACATACAAACAAAAATAGCAGAAATACAGGAAAAATAAAACTGAAATCAACATAATTTCAGCTGATTATTTAATCAATTTGGCACATTTAATTACTTCAGCTTATTCTATAACATTAGAAACATCTTAGTATTCATTTTTATTTATTTTATTTAAATAAGAAAATATACTTTATCGCCTAAAATGCAGTAAAGCATTCCTTTATTGATCATTTGAAGCTAAAAATACTTTTAACATAAACATGATAAAATCTCAGCCTTCCTGCTGCATTCATCAATATAGTTCAGAGCTGATCTGTTGATTACAGAATTTGAACATATTTACAGACAAAGAGGGTTTTCTATTGTAAATCTAAAATGTTTAGATTTTTGTAAAATTTTTGGCTTAATTACTGCTTTGTGGCCCAAATGACATTTTTTTCCCTGTATATTTTAGGTAACGTTTAATTGATAACTAAATTAGTTGGTGATTAACTCAATGATCGATTAACAACGATTAATTATTTTGTTTGTGATTAGTTTAAGAGATTCTCTTCCTTTTGAGCTCAGGCTGTAAACCAGACATGATTTTAAGCATCAGTTTGTAGAATAATACATAATTCATTCTGCCTGCATTCATTATGGATGGTGACCTGGTTTCATCATAAAGCTTCTTGTTGCTCTATTGGACTTTCTCTCTGCTTCCTGCGGCGCCACCTGCTGGTTTTTAGCCTCACCCTCTCGTGCATCGGGGACACCTGGTCCTCCTCCGTGTTGCAGGGAGACGTGTCGCCTGTCGGCACCCGGCTGACAGCCATCTCAGCATGACCTTTGCCCTGTGGCCCCTTCATCCTCACAAACTCCATGTTGTTGTACTTGTAGAAGCCAAAGGACATCCGCTGGGCCATCTTAGCAGCGACGCTCACCTGCAACAACCATACACACATCAACACACTGCAAAGGACGTCAACCGAGTTTATCGTACTGGAATTAAACATTTAAAGGAGACTTATAATGCAAAACTTACATTTAGCAAATTTTGTACTTTCATTTGCATATGGACTTAAGCCTGTTCAAAGAAGCTTAATAGGTCACCTTTAACATGACACTTTGCATGAAGTTGCTGCAGCTACATGCATGTTTTAGCAGAGTGTTTTGGTTCTGACCCGGTTGTCGTAAACCTTCCTGAGCGCCTCGTAGCGGATGGATCCCTGGAAGATGACGCCCTGGAAAGTGTTGCTCTTATCGCTCGCCACCAGCTCCACACACACCATCTCGCCTTCACCCACAGTCATATCTCTGAACACCTACACAGGCGGAGAGGAGAGCTCAATCCAGAACATCAAAACAATGGATTTCTGACTCCTCCAGCAGAAAAGGTCGTTAAATAAGGAGCTTAGAACTAAATAGAGTGAAAAGGTCAGAGGTCAAATTGCTGGTTTTAGGATCAGAGAGGCGTCACTACCTCTTCAAAGTTGTCGATCATGAAGAAGATGTTGGGGTAGCTCATCTTGGACTCCTCTCCTTTGATGTCCATGGCGTGTTTACTGGGAGAGGCGAAAACCTCCTGGAGGAGAACGTTGGAAAAGATGAGAGAAACAAAGTCAAGGCAACTTCCTGGTGGTGGCGCTGATTACCTACCTGACATTTCTTCTTGTGGATGTGGATGTCTCCGGCGTCTGAGCGCGTGCAGACGGCACACGTTACCACATAGTCCAGCTGGGGGAAAATGAAGAACTCAAGTTATTTAGTGTCGAAACGGTGAGACGTTCATGAAATACTGTTCATCTATTTTGTTTGCTAAAATCTCCAAGATTATCTCTACTGCAGGTTGAGCGTTTATGAGGCAAATTATGGTTTGATTCGTTCATTTCTGCAGCTTTTAATAAGGATAAAAATCACCCCAAAAGCTGTTTAAAACGTACAAACTTCAGCTCTGATGTTTGAAACATCAAAGCTGGAAAATGAGCAAACAAAGAAGGAAAACCAGAAACATCTCAGCAAATATAAGCTCTAATTTGAATGAAAAGGGTTTAAAAAGCCAAAAACCAGGAGGCGTGGACTGAAGACAGACTTCCATTTTGTCTGGATCCATTGTCTCTTTGTGTCGCCCTATTGGCTGAGAATTCAGCAGATTTACCTTCTGGAGGATCAGATTTAGGTAGACGCTCTCCTCCCAGTCGATGTCTGGGTCACCAAGACCTGGAAGCTTCTTGGAGTCTCTCCTGTAGACTTCCACCTCCACCTAAAAACACAAAACGCTGTTGTCAGATTTTCCTTGTTGTAGAATCTGATAACTAAACTAAAGAGTATTTAATGTTTAATTGCTTCTAATCCTTTCTTTGGCTCCCCAGGTGTGAGACGTTTCATGCTTTTGTGTTTCCTTCCTGTCAGATGCTCTTCAGGGAGATCCCAGGTCTCCAAATGCCAGGAATCGCTCACAGACCTTTTAGAGAGCCAGAATGGTCGCTATGGCGACGCCCGTTTGTGTGTGCAGAGCTGATGGGATGAAAAAGCTTCACGGAGGAAACAAGACAACTAGTCGATGATAAAATCTCTGTGTTGTTGTTGGTGAAAAAACTTTAAAAATGAATTTTGACAGACTGAGGTTCATGTTTCCTAAAGGGAAGCGAAGAGAGAGGCGCCGATCTTCATTTAGTATTTGGATGTCAAATACTAAACTCATCCCAGAAACTCTTCATGCGACTGTCATGGAAAGTTCAACTCTTTTACTGATATTTTTAAAGGCCAAATTAAACATAAAACTCTCTGAAAGAAGTAGCAGAAACTTTAAAACCTCCTTAAAACATTTTAACATTTAGTGAAACCAAATACTGAGCCAGTTGTACTGTAAAGGATGCAAGTGACATAATTTACTTATTGTCAAAAACCTAAAAGCTTCAGGAAAATTAAATACATACTAATTATGATATGCACGATCAGCTGCTCCAGGTTAAAGGTTGATAAGAACTCTGACTTGCTTTCCTCTGCTGGTAAAACTGATAAGAGATTAATTAAAATGAGGATGATGAAAGCAGAGAGAAGGTTGATGAACCTGGAAATGCTGGAACAGAAAGACTACTCAAAAGTGAAAGTTTTAATTTACGGTTAAAGTTAACAATGATTAAGGTGATGACTGGAAAAACCAGATCATGTGGTTGGAGGATTTCCTGCTAGACGAGCATGTGATCTGTCTCGGTTCAGGAATCTAACCAGGACAGAAACATCGGGGCAAAGCCAGAATAATACAATGTAAATGCACGTTGAAGTCGCTGGTATTGGATCTGGAAAATCAATTGTTGGCCCCTTTCCACTGGTAAAATGTTGAGATCACATATACACTAAACCTCTCTTGATTACATAAGGTAGTGTCATTATAGATAGAAAAAGGGAGAATTTTATAGAAAAAAAACAAAGAAAATATCTGAGTTTGAAAATTCAGAAATTTTCCATATGTGGAGTTCAAAATTTCTTAGTTTTTTTCTTGAACATTTCTGAAATTTATCTTATAATTTCTGAGTTTTTGTGGGAAATTACCTCCCGACCCCCTTATTTACAATGACCCTAATACACTGTTCTACTTTTCCAGCGCTGACATTTCTCGGTTTTCCTGTTTAGAAAATAGAATTAAAAATAATCTCTTCATGTGGTCACAGTCACATCTTAAGACACACCGACATACACCAACCCAAAAGTGTTTTGTTGGTATCATAATAGGATTTGACTCGTTTGCTACATTTGCTTTACCACTACAAACTAATATGGCTGCGGCGCATGCGCTATTCTAAATGTAGCATTTTGATGTCCCTCGTGACAATTGTCAGGTTTTCAAATTTAAATATACTTTTTTCATCCCAAAGGGAAATGAAATGGTATTGCAACTCATAAATTCACATCCAAATATTAAATGTTGTTTTTAATTATACATTGATTTTATTTGAAAGCATCTTTCAAATACACCTTGAGTCCAGGAACAATAACGTTTTGCTAAACTCTCTTTCAGGTATTTCCTCCGCTTGGTTCAGGAGAACCGTCACGTTTAAATCGGACCTGAATGAATAAAGCGGCGGGCGAATCCAGAGGAAACGTTCTGAAGGTTCGGCCCAGTTTTAAAGACGTGACGCGGCTGCATTCGCAGTCGGCCTTTCCTCTGTCTGAAGAGGAGGAAAACTGGTGCGCTGAGCTGGACTCGGAGGCAGTAGCCATGGCAACCGGAGATGGAGGGGCACGTGGGACAAACTACAAACGGCAGACGGAGTCGGCGCTCTCCAAATGTAATTATAAAAAGAGAAAAAGGACAACGCTTTCACAGACACTTCGAGTTTGGAGAGATGTTAAATATAAATATGATGAAAATAAACAAACACAGAGATTGAAACTCTGAAATGAAAAGTAATTAATATTTAAATAAATTATGACTGATATTCCAGTCCTTCATTAGTTTATGTATTTAGATGTTTTGTTGAAGTTTTTATAACGGTAAATTGTTTGGATAAAAACTGATTAAATTAACAATAAAATATTTACTCTCACTTTGCTCATTTGTTCAGGATTTCTCTGTCCTTGTTTCATTTCTCTCTTCTGCTGCAGAGAATCCGCCTACAGATCAGGAGATTCTGGTTTTTGTTTTGGGAAACGATCCCACTAAGATCAGCAGTGCAGGCTGGACGAAGCCTCCCTGATCAGAGAACCGATGGCTGCTGCCGTGCCCTTCGCCTCAATCCGTGTTATTACATCTGGCCTTTGAGAGGTCTGACCTGCGGATGGAAATGATGGCCGCTGATGGCCTGAAATGGCAAATATAGATTCAATCTGCTGCTGAATGAAAACCCAGACTATTTTCTGCTGTGGTGATTAGATTCAGTCAAAGGGAGGAGAGTGATGCAGAAAATATGATGGAAGTCAAGATGTAAATAATAATTTATAACCTGAAAGAAAAGGACTTAAATACTGCATTAAATGGAAGGAGGTAAGATTTTGGTAGCTGCACTTATTCTTTTATATATTATGTATTTTCATCTAAAAATGAACTAAAGTGAAGCATAGTTTCTCTACAAAATGATACACATGTATGCCACAATAAAAAAACATGCTAGATATGTTTGTGTGTTTTATAATCATCCTGGTCTAATGTTGAATGAACAGAAATTTCAGTTCATTTTGCTTCAACCAGAACTACTGCATTTTGTTTTATGACGGTTTTGATGATTTAATAGTGTAACAATTATCATATTCCTGTAGCTGTGAGCTTCACAAAGTAAAGATTTTTATTCCTTCTGCTGGAATCATGAGAGCCAATTAAACATTTCATATGTAATGAATTAAAAACTGAAATTATGTCCTTGAAATAATACCACTTTTGCCTTCTAGCAACCACTGATAATATCTGACAGCATTCAGATATTTTCTGTCCTGGACATCATGAGTTAAAGAATCAGAGCATTTAAGAGGAAACTGATAAAAACACCAGTAGAAATCTAGAATGTCGGATTGTTTTTCACCTTTTTGGCCTCGCCGTTGTCTGCGCCGACATATGCAGGCTTCCTGCGGACATAGAACAGCATGTCGTCCTGCCGCGGCGCCCACTTCTCCATGAAGTAGGTGGAGAACATCCAGGTCCAGAAAACGATGCGGTCATCTTTAAAACAGCCTGGAGACAGAAAATGGATGTCAGGAGGGCAAAGACAGACAGATAGTACAAAACGGCAGGTTTTATCGCCTAAAAGAGTCATTTTTATTCCCAGGATGTTTTTTTTTTTTTTAATATTTAAGCCATTATTATTCACCTACAGCTCAGTTACAATAAAAGCACCCGTTGATGCTTTTATTTTGAAAAACAGCTGGGCATCAATAGATGTAAGGTTAAAGGCGTCAGAAATAACAGCCACGTTTTGTGTTTCAGACGATGACCGTCTGCCCTTCATCGCCACAGGATGCTCATCACCTTTCAGAGGCACCTGTCTGGTTACCTGGCAACAGCTGCTAGGAGGCAGGAGGTTAAGATGTTAACGGCGCTCATCACTAAACCTGATCAGTCACACACATTTGTACTTTTATTAAAGAAAGTATGAGTAGTTGGGGACAAAAGAGGAAAATAATCTGGTTTTCTTCGCAGCAAAAGCTTTAAACTGATTTTCTTTTTCTTTGAGTTATTTTTATCAATAGTAACAAATTTAAAGAAGTTTTATTAGAAATGAAACCTGTAAAGTTTAAAAACACGTTCAGGAAAATATGTACGGAGTGGACAGAAAACAGGATCTTCTACCGTAAAATTACGTAACATTTAATATAAACAAATGGTTTTTATAATGTAAAAATACAGTTTGACGTTTTTCCAACATTTGTGAAACATTGTTCTCATCTTGTCTGCGTGATTTTAGTCATTTTAAGTTGACGTAAACTTGGATGTATTCTAATTTATTCCTCACACAAAATTGCATGTTTTAACTTACAATGTATAGTTTGTACTTTTTCTTAAATTACTTTGTATTATTCAGTATTGTTATAAACTGATGAACGGCCTGCAGGTGAAAAATAAGTACAGAACAAAAAAGAGAAAAAAAATAAAGATGAAAAAAGGATGAAAGAAAACAAATGTAAGAGAATTACACGAGGAACTGACTGTAGTTTTCTCACAATGCCTGGAAAACCTCTAGAGGGCGCCACCATGATCACATGTCTGATTTGGACTCCTGTTGCTCCAGAAAAGCAGTGGAGACGATCCAGATCTCATGACCAGATGAAGCTTCAGAAACATAATCTGGATTACGATGTCTGCATATTTAATGATCCAATTCGTAATCAAAACTCCTTGTTGTGAAAACTGAACCGATCAAACCCTGATCCAATCACAGCAGAGCTTCAGTTTTTAATTTGAAATCAAACAGCAAAGTGATGAGTAGAGCCTAACCGAGGCGCGTTGGGATTAATCTCATTATCTATGACGACGTGATCGGGTCACCAAGAGCTGCTGCTAAACCACACAGGAAGAACCAGGAAGGCGGCACCGCTTCCTGGACCTTCTTGGTTCATGATAAACCTTCATGAAGCTCAAACCCGTTTTATTTTAGCTCTCCAGTCAGATTTGAACAGAAGTTTGGAATCAAAAGTCAACCAAAGATGTGATCAAAGTTTGGTTTTCGTCTGAGTGCTGCTGTTCTTACGACTCCTGATCTATTTATAGCTGCTCATCCCGCTTTAAAAATACTTCAGCTGTGATGAAACCAGGCGCAGCGTCACATGGCCGGGAAAGTGATCTGAATCCTCCAAAAACTGTGGGGTCATATGGATCATGAGTAAAATTTGATCTGGTTTTCCAAACCAGATTAAATTTTTTATTTTTTTATTTTTTCTTATTTTTCCACTTTCTATCACTTGTAATTTCTATCACAACTTCTGTGATTTGTGTGATTAATACATTTGTTTAATTACAAGCATGCAATCATAATATTAGCAAGAAAAAAAAACATAATTTCACCAGAAGGACATTTTAAAACTATGAGAAAAACATTTGAATGAAAAAAATCTTCCAGTCATGAGGATCTGATATGAGCTGCTCAGTTTGATTCTTTGAAACAGATTCAGACATTTTATACTCCTGCTACTGATAATTTGATTCATGTTTTAAAAGTTTAAAAATTTCCTCATTTGTAAAACCAATACAAAAGTGCAGCTTCACAAGATGCTCAATATGCCTCATCTTATTTGTTTTGCTTTTTTTGTGCATGTTGGAGTTCTCATAAAATTATTAATTCAGTCTTCTAATATTCTGACTTTATTCTGGTAATATTAATACTTTGCTCTTGTGTTATTTGGATTGAAACCAAAGAAGAACAGAAAAAAAAATTCAGATTTTCCAAAAATTTGACAAATTGATAAAATTGATTTATTGCTCAGTCCTGGTGACCACTAGAGCACCAGTTACTGAACCATTAGTCTCCACATTGTCTCTGTAGACGAGGAAAGTCGAAGTGTGTATCACTTGACCTCCCTGACTAATGTGTGTGACCCGTTTGTCATGTGACGGAGCCTCCGGGTTTATCTTGTGCTCTCCTTATGTTTTTGATGACATGCTGTCATTTCCAAAGCAGGTCAGTTTCTCTCTGCAGGAATGAATCCACATTCCCAGTCCGTCCGTTTGGCTCAAACATGCCAGACAAGTCGAGTGTTTTCTTGCTGCTCCTGTTCGTTTGTATGATGTGACCCAGAAACTTGACGGCAGACGCCCTGGTTCCTAAAACCCGACGGGAGGAAACGCGAGGCGAGGCAGAGCTGAAGGTTTCTGATGAATCTTAAAGGTTTTCCTGAAACATTTTCTGATTCCTGCAGCTGAATCGCAGTTGCAGGCTTTCCTGCTTAACAGCTTTAGTGGAGCTCAGATGTTTGTTGCAAAAAGCTGAGACATAAAATGCAAATTTATGTCTGCATTTAAATAAAAGATAACTGTTTTAAGTCAGTTCAGCAGTTTTTCTGCATTATATTGATACAAGATATCTATCGGAAGCAATAAAGTAGATCGGTGCATCCCGGGTTTTGAAGTAGCTGCAGACCTGAGCACAAACAGGAAACAGATAATTTCCTGCTGGGGTCAAACCTGCCCCAATGTGAACCAGCTGTGTCACAGAAAACATTAACATTTCTGCAGAAGCTCAGCCAGCCTGACTCTCTGCACCTGGTTAAATATTCAGCAGGATTTATCATTCGAGTCGCAGAGCAATCAGCTATTTTTACTGTACAGACGCAGACGAGCGAACGTCTAATGTGATTTATTCCCTCCGTCAGGGAACAACAAGCTGATGTCAGTATTTATCTGAGAGGGTTTATGAAAAGCCCAACCATTGACAGGCAGCTCTACATTTCTGCTTCAGGTTTCAACCAGTTGAAGGTGGGATTTAAAATGTGAGAAAATAAAATGTGTTGTGACATTAACAGTGGAAACTTTACTGATAGATAACACCAGTAAAGTTCACCTAGTAATCCAACAAAGCCTTTAAATCAACATTGAGAGATGCTGAAGTAACTGCACTGATTGGTCACCTTCTGTTTGAAATATCGGTGATTTAATGGTTGGAGATTTTATGCTAAGACGCTAAACATGGAAACTAAAGAACAAAATTATTACTGCCTATGAAAATGATATTTGTGACTGTGCTGCCACTGTGTGATATGAGTAAAGACCTGAGTCACTGTTGGTAATTTGCTTAAAGAGTGCTGAGTCAGCAGCCTGCAGAGGAGCATCCAAGGACAAGAGAACACACCAGATGCTCACTTCCTCAAGTACTAAAGTTCTGCTTTTCAGGCTCAAATCTGCTTCAACTACAATACTTTAACTAGCCCACTCCACCTTTACTCCCCTATAAATTATAACTCCACCTTCTAGCCAAAATGGAGCCTAAATAAATGGATTTACTTCTGGTCTAGTCCATTTCATTTTCCAGCCCCAGAAATGAAAAGGACATTTTTTTTCCACCTTCAGTGAGAAGACTGTTTTTATTTTAGCAGGTTTTAGAGATAGATGGAGGCATCTGGTCTTCATGCTGCCACTTGGCTTGATACAAAAAAAAACATCTTAATTTGGGAAGAATTTCATTGTTTTTGTTTTTACAAATCAGGCTAGGATGGAATAAAGTGAAGCCAAAATGAATACAGGTTGTTTCTTAGTATTTCACATTAAAACTAACAATAATGGCCAACAGAAACTAAACTGGCTTCAATGATTGGCAACAATAATCTAGTTTCCTCTGGTGGGCGGAGCTTAAAGAACTTAGTTACAGCACAGCAGAGAGGGTCGGGTTATTATTACGCCATTTATAAATTAACCGCACTGCGATGAGGTTCTATGGATGCTGTGCTCTAACTCTATAGTAATATTTAAACATTTAGCAGTAAAAGCATTGAATGCCTGTTTGTAAAAATAGAAATTATTTAAAAAGCCTTTCAAACAAACACTTCACTCTTGAACTATGCTGGCTCATTTACTGAAAATGACTGATTAAACACAGTCGACACTTTAAAAGAGTTACAGTTAACATTTTAAAAGAAATGTTTGGGTTTCTTTTAAACTCTCTTTTCTGCAACACAATATAAATTTGGAAGATTTTCAGACCTTAGACTTTTTTACTGCAGCTTGTTTAAATATTTTGTTTTTTTAACTACTTACAGAGAAAAAAAAAAGAAGAAAAAATGAATAAATTTTCACATCTACGGTTTGTGGTGGAGCAAAAATGGCAGCTTGTTCAAAAATTCTCAATACTTTGTAAAAGTTAAAATACTGCTTGGCAAAGAAACGAGCGCATGAATTTATGGAGGGATTCAGTAGCTGCAAGTGTTTTTCCTGCAGCGGCAGCGCGGCGAACTGTGATGAAGTCATTGCTTTTCAAACAGAGCTCTATTGATTTATGCATCACAGCAAACGAACAACACCGACTGTCTGCTTCAGGGCCGATAAAACGGGGCAGAAACACCCAACAAACTGCACAGCTGACACTTCTCCATCAGTTGGGGAGTGTTTGTGTGAATTCAGGATGATTGGATCAATTCACTCTAACAGGACAGTTTAGTTGCTGCAAACAGTTTCCACAAGCCTAAAAAGACATACTGAGACTCTACATACATGTTCTTCATGAAGGTGGCTAATAAGTAAAGCAGCAGATAAAAAGGTTTTTGTTACAAAATACAGATTTTCATTTACAATCCTGGCTTTTAATGATGTTATTTTATTACTTCTCATGTAGCAAGTATGCAGAAAATCAACAAAAACAGAAATCTGTTGGATTGATTTAATAAAATCTTGTTTTGTCAACTCAATTTTATTCTATCAGTACATCAGTGAATTACTGTTTCATTTAGAAAGAAAAAAAGCAAACTTTTTTGGAGCTGAATTGAAACCCACAGAGTCTGATTATTCCCAAATTAACTGAATTTGTTAATAATAATTTCTCCTGTTGTTGTTTGAGCTGCTGTTTGAACTGATTCTTCAGAAATGTGGCCTTTGACCCTTTCAGCTTCTTCGTTTTGTGTGACGTCTCCCAAAAAAAAAAAACTTAAAAATTTAGAGGAAGCCCAAACTTCCTCGAAAAGTTACAGTTACCTGGCAAAGTTTTCCAATTATTTCTCATAGTTTTAACATTACATTTGCCTCTTTCAATTATTAGATCATTAATTAACACAAAAACAGAAATATAATTTAACATTTAAACTGTGTTCATGTGTTATGAACCTCCCAGAGACTTTTTCCTAAACTGTTAATAAGTCAGTAATGTATGAATTCAGTATCTCATTTTGGCTGGTAGCTTAAATTTAGTTTGTTAAAATAAATCTGGAGTGTTTTTTAAAACATTATATTAGAAAATATAATCAATAACATTATAAAAAAATGTTATTGAGTAAACATCTGGTGTAGTAATAACTCTGCCTTATGTCATTGTTCTCTGGGTTTAATGTTGAGTCCTATAATAAAATTTTGACACTGAACCCTGAGGTTTATTTGCAATATGGTTCTAATTCTGCAGATCAAATTTCTATCATATCGCTCACAGGAAAATCTCTTCATATATTTATGTGTTGCTGCAAATGACTCTATAAAACACTCATTCTGAAATAACTTATACTTTTCCCGCAAGTACTTCTGTACTTCAGTGTCTCACTATAGTTCTTTTTTCAAAGTAGGGCAATGTTTCAATCTGTGAAGGTTCCTCTTTTACCAAGGACCTGAAAACCAGCAGAGCAGAAGAACTTCAGCTACAAAATAAACAGGAACAAACCACAAGATTTTCCACCCAGACCAGTTTAAAACAGTTATGTTGAATTTAAGCAAAGTCAGCATCTGTATGTCTGATCAGTGGATATTGTAGAATTCAAACAGCAAACTTTCAGTTGAATGTTGACATTTTGCTTTTCATGTTTGGATACATGAATATTTTAAGGAAAGATTTATTTTTAAATGTGTTTTATCTGAATGTAAACTGAGAAGTAAAAAACTCCCAACAAAACTAGCAGATGAGATAATACTGTAGTTTAAATTTATGTAAAAACATATGAAAGCTTCTTCTCACTCTAAATAAAAAGTTGCTAACATTGTATTTATCTTCATTACTAAAGCAAATTTACTTTTTATTGCATAAAATGGAAAAACATGAATCTTTACGTCACTTAAAGTTGTCTTTCTTTGGGAAACGATCAGTTGTTCTGGGTGCCTCCATCTTTTTACCAGCTGAGATAAACTCTGCCCTGTTTTCATTCTGTTCAATGTAAGAAATTCAGTATTTGTGCTTTGATTAAAAATAAATAAATAAAATCACTTAATTCTGCTGTTTTGTCAAATGAACAAGCCAGACCTCTGTTGTTGGTGGTCTGGTACATGTTTTAAGTTATTCTACTCAGTTTTACTGGCATTTTTAATCAGCCTTACTTTACAGTATCTTGTTTTGTATACTTTAATAATAAATTTGACCTTTCGTTTGCTTGTCACTTTGCTGCACATGCATAATATACACACTGATGGACAATAAAAGGATATTCTCACTTTAAAAAAAATGGGGCCCATGGTTGAAGTCTCTTAAAATCATTGGTAAGGCCCTGCATACCAAGACTGAGGGCAGAAAGTTGGAAACAAAGCTGGACGAAGATAAACGGAACAACAAATAGTGGCACATATAAAGCGATTAGAAGGTTTACGTTAATTCTGATTGGTTGTCCTATTCCAGAAATAAATCAGGACAAATCGGATATAAAGTGGCAGGCACGCAGATAGCACAAATAGCGTCAGGTCCACGGAGGATCAGACTCACCGAGTCCGCTGATCTCCTGTCGGCTGTTGAGTCGGTTCCTCTCGTCGGCGATGGCCTTCAGCATCTGCTGCAGGGAGCCGTCCAGCTCTCCGTTCTCCTCCTCCGCGGGCCCGACAGCCTTACACAAACCGGGGAAGGACGCCATCTCCGAGCTGGGATCATGACAGTCCGGGCTAAAAGCAGCCCACGGTACCGGTTCACGGCAGCTAACTAACGGCTACAAGGAGGACCAGAAAAAGGGGGACACCGGGATATCCCCCGGTTCTCCTTCAAATTTACTCCGGATTGGATTGTAATCTTGGCGCCAAGAGGCCGCTGTAGGTCAGGAGCGGTGCGCTGTGCTGCGGCGGCCGAGAACAACAGCAGACAGACAGCTCGGTGTGTTAGGGAGATCCTGCTACTTCTGTCATTCAGATCAGCTGGAAACACCCCTCGCACTTCCGGTAACATGAAGGCCTTAAAGAGACAGGGCAGCTAAAAGGCACAGAAACGCAAACTGAACCAAGAGCACGCAGAGGTGTCGCAGACAATTCTGTTACTCCTTAAATCCAGGGACATTGAAGGTTGGGTCCGCCTGAATAAAATAAAAATAAAGAAACGAACTTGTATAAAATCCCTGAACGACTAAAGGATGCAGTTTAATATATACTAAATGCTATAGAGGGAAAAGGACGTTTGAAAATGTTAGTTATTTAATAGAGAAAATTACATAAATTTAATGTGTAATTTTAATCCACGACTTTTCAAAATCAAACTTCTGTGACAAAAAAGTGTGTGAAAGCATAATAAATTAAAATGCAATGAATTAGAATTTAGAGTCAAATTGATGATTGTTCTTTTGGTAAACTGTTACAAGAGAGAGAAATAACAGATTTTTTAAGTGTCCGAAGACATAAGACACTTTTGATTTAGACAGCACTTTTAATTATTGCAAACAATTAACACTAAAAGTAAAATAAAATAAAACAAAACAAAGTACTTCTACTTAACTGAACGAAAACAAACATATTTTGTTGTTAACTTTGTTAATCCTTTTTTGCAATATTGGTCACCTGAGTAGTGCAAGTGGCTCGTGTTTCCATCTCCAAAATGGCGGCCACGTTGACGTACAAAGGAGCCAAGTCAGCTGAAATCATTTGGACTAAGTAAAGTTCTGTTTCACACGGGGTAATTCTCTTTATAAAATATACAGTAATAAGCAGCTAATTAAAGGGTCACATTCAAACAGCACCAAAGGTAAACTTAAGTCGTTAACCGTTTTGCTTCTCCTGCCGTTAGAACAACGGTTAACACCCGGTGAAGCTGATGTTAGTTACCTGGATCCTGTTAACATACATCCGTTGGGAACGAAGTCAGAATCTGACTATTGACAATTTTCAACGTTACACCACCTCAAGCTCCGCCCCCCTGAACTGCACCTCTCCGCAGGCTCAAGTGTCCCGGTTTAAACAAGCGCACCCCTAATTTTCCAGACAAAAGATGACGTCATGTGAAACGGTCTCCGGACTGGAGAAGGTAAATCTGGACTATATATGTATTATCAAAGCAGTTTGTAGACAATTTCACTCACTGAAAGTTAAAGCTAAATATAGCACTGAAATGTACAAATATTTATATAAAATAGAATTTATATTTCATCCAGGTGAATAAAATATGGTTCCAGGAAGATTTAACTTTGTAATGAACAGCTAGCTCCTAAATGAAAAATTTAACCTTCATTTATGTGTTAACATACTTTTTTCTGATGTTTTTTCTGAAAAATATGTCTGACAGAAAATATCCTGCTTTTTATCCCGCTGCATGTTTATATATTTATGAAGGTTAACACAGCTTGGAATAGAAAAACTAGGTAATGGTGACGCCTGGTCATAATAAATCACAAAATATTTTTATCAGTGATTAGCCACTTATTTTATTCAAGTTATCAGCTGGAGAAACATGGAATAATTCTTTTATCTTGGTAGAGATTGATTTTACAAAACAAACAGAATACATTTTTATAAATCCCACAATAAACTGACAAATGATCCATTGTGTGGTTTGTTCAATTTAAATTAGTTTCATGAGAAGACAGTGTAAGTAAAAATATCTGGACTGATCTGCTAAGCCTCACACCTCTGAGCTGAATACTTAAAGGGAAAGTATTACCAGAAGAGAACCTGAACATAAAACAAAGTTTTCAGTTGCCAATGATGAAAATATTTTCTTTAAATAAATCTGCCACAAAAACGTTTGATTCTGTTTAAGAAGTTTGGTGCTGCTCTCTCTCATTTACAGGAAGCATAAAGGCTGACTACTTGGAGAACATCCAAGTAGATTTGTTTTCAAAGTAAAGTAAATTTTCTTTTTAGACATTTAGAGATTCATGTCATCTTAGTGGAAACATTCAGACCTTGAGATCTGAAATCCATTTTAAAGTATTTTCAGTCTCATCTTTGGAGCTTCAGAACCAAACAGACTTTAATCAAATGTTTTGTTGTGTTTTTATTGTTCAGTTCTGGAATCGACACTCAGATGAATCCTCTGCGGATGTTTAATGATCTTGCTCCTGGTCTGCGGAAATCCAAACGGGGTCGTCCTGGATGTCCTGAGGGGATATCCACGAGCGGGCCAATGGGGTCGTACCGAGGTCGCAGAAGGTTGCGTGGGAGGTTCGGTCGCTGGTCGTAGTCGCCCCCGATGATCCCTGGCAGCGGAGGGAAGAGGGGCCGGGGCACCGTGGTGATGATGTCACGTATGGGGAAGGGCGGCAGGGAGTAGGGACGAATGTGATGTTGTAAGTCTAAGCAGGCTTTGTAGGACTTTTTGTAAAGCTGTAAGAAAAAAAAGAGCCAGAGTATTCATCAGGAATCCCACAGCAACACCTGATTATTTATCAGTGTTAACTGATTCTAACATAACAAAATTAAACTTTAAATAAACGTCTTATGTTACAAGACGACTTTAAAGGATGGCCATTAATTTAGGCTCTTTCTCTGGATTAATAAAAAACTGTTGTCTCATTTTTTCAGCCTAACTTGGCAAATACGAATGTTAATATTGTAGGGCTGCTGTAAAATAATATTTTAGTAATTGAGTAGGATATTTTTACGATAATCGAGTAATCCTCTCTCTCCCTCCAATGACAGAAAAGTTGTCGTACTCCAACCAAGCATTGCGCAACTCAGTGTAACAATACTCATTTATCTCCCAAAGCCTAATAAAACGCCGAACAATTAATTGCCCTGCTGCCAGTGCTTCGCAGCAACTCATAGGCGGAACTGCCCACCACAAATAATGACTTGGGCGGAACGCCGTGCGCTAAATAATAAAACACAATTTAATGAAGCTTCGAGGCAGGTACAGTTTCCTCGAGGAATTTTAATAATGGAAGAACTCGAATCATTCAAGGTATCGTTTCAGCCCTATATTATTGTAGTTATGTAGTTTATGAGAAGCCTTCCATTTACGTAACTATTTGTTTTGTTACGAAAACAGACAATCTTACTTTAGTATGATATTATAATTGAGATTTACATTTTTATTTAACACATAAACAAAGTAGCAAAAACCCACAAGCAAATCTACAGAACATAATGATAAAAGAACCAGAACCAAACTCAGTTTGGGATCAGGAGATCGCCGTCGACAAGAGAATGGTTGCATCAAAAGCAAGGATTTCATTCAAGCAGTACATGAAGGCCAAGCAACAGATACGCCTGGGACGTCTTTATTAAAAGACACAACACCAGTGGAAAAAGTGTCAGCGATTAACCTTGTGAAAACTTATAAAACAGATAGATTAAAAAAGACATAATATGGATGCACATTTTATTTGCATTAACATTGGTATAATTATAAATAAAACTGGGTCAGTATTAATTTTACATGTGATTTCATATTGGTGGGTCAGATATATTGTTGGATACTCTGGCATCAAAGCTGGAGTAATTTGACATTATGAATCCATGTTTAAGATAAGAATAAAACTTTTGGAGAGCTATTTATTACATTGTTTTAATTTTTAAAGTTATGTATGTTGAATAAATGCTTAGTGTTATAAGAGATCTGTACAAAAAGATCATTTTTTTCAAACTCCCAGCACAAATGTTCATTTCAGAAGAATTAAGCAGACGTGAGAAAAATGTTTCTCACCTGTTTCCAGTCTGTCTCTGTGGGTAGCCTGGTATCAGGACCTAAAAACAAAGAAGTTATAATCAGATAAATTTAATTGTACAAATCATTTCAGCTAACTCAAGAGTTGGCTTAGCTAACCGTTACAGCAACAGGATTTCTTCACTAAAACAAACTGAAGTTTTACTTTGATCTAAAGAGCAGAAATAAAAACTACAGTTTCAATTTCTGGTTCTGACGTCTTACTAGAGAAGTCCCGGATGTACAGATGTTTCCAGAGGGTGGAGTCAGATGCGGCGGTGTTGAAGTGCCAGCTGGCGGCCGACAGTCTGATCAGGGAGTGGACGTCCAGCAGGCGGAGGACCCGAAGCAGCAGCTCAGGAGGGAGAGCCTGCAGACCGAATGCCACCGGCAGCGCCATGGCTGGGAAAACACACCGTCACTTTCTATCATCACACCTCCAGGCTGTGCAGAGTTCAGCTTTGCTTACCTTCTCTTGCAGCAGCGATCAGCGGGTACGCCAGCTGGTCTTTGAAGATTCGGGAAAGTTTCTTCAGATTCTTGAAGGCTGTGGCTGCATTTTCTCCTGAATAAAAGCAGGGAAAGTTAAGCCTGTACAACTGAGATGTTCTAATATAGAACTGAACAAACTTGTCATTCAAATTCTACTATTGTCTCATTTTATTTGTTCCTCTGTTTTTTGGTCCAATAGATTAAGCCATATTAAAAATGATCACTGGTGTAAAATAAAGCAGAACTAATATGTGGTTGGTATTTTTGTAAATGTAGTTTGTTTTGTTATGTAAAATGAGCCCAGCATGCTGCTAATGCTAATGAGAATTTGAATCCACATACAGAACCTCGGCCGTACCTGGACAATCTTGAGTCACGTAGCTGGATGTCTTCAGCAGCAGCTTCTGAGTCGTGTCGATGGTTTCAGGAACCTTCAGAACCGCTGCAAAGAACAAGCAGAAGATAAAACAAAACGGGTTGGGCAGATTTTAGGTCAAATGTTTATGATTATAGACCAAAAGCAAATGACCTGAGGCTGAATCAGCTAAAACAGGAGCAGAAAAATGAAGTTACCGTTAAGGACCAGCAAGGGGCCCATGCCCACGGCCACCACCGACACCAGACTGTTTTCACATAAAGGATGGGTGTACTGCAGCCTGTAGACTCCACCCGCAGACCTCCACCCTGCAGGCATCTCCCCAGGCTTCAGCTCGCTGCCCTGAACACAAAGCAGATCCAGCTGTGATCCAGCTGTGATCCACAGGAAGCAGAAGGACCAGGGTGTTCCATGGCCTCACCTGAGCGGAGAAGCCAGTCTCCAGCATGAGGAGATGCGCTGCCACCATGATGGCGTCGTTGGGGCTGCTGGTCTGGGCCGTGTGGTAGAGCAGCTCCAGGGACAGAGGAGCCTCACTGTCCTCAGCTTCGCTGCACAGCATGGGCTCCCAGACAGGGGGCGCTGCTGAACAGCTCTGCATGTTGCAGGTCTGCAGCAGCTGAGGGCTACTGCTGCTGTCCTGCAAAAGAACCAGAACAAAACCGTCAGGTTGGATCCGAATAAAGTATTATTTTCTAAATTGGGCAAATCATCTGAATTTGGACTCAGATGACTGAAGTGAGAGATGAATCAGAGTCAGTTGTTTAATGCATTTTCACAGCAGCTGTTCTCGAATAACCCGTCGCACAGAAGCCGTAGAAAAGCTTGTAGTCATTCCTTCATTTTCAAATTGAGGTGAAATAAAAAATAATTTTAGTAATTGATTAATCAAATATTTTTGATGATTAATCAAATAATCAGAAAAAAATTTGCACATTGTGTAGATTTTTCATTGCACCACTTATTTATTTTATACAGTAATAAATACATTTTCGCCTAAAACCCAAATTTAAGTTTTACTGGCTGCTCAAGGCTCTGATGCAGGCAGTTTGCTGGAAGCCAAAAATGCTGATTCCAGAGCTTCACCTGAACGCTTCATGGACCAGCCACTTTTATTTTCCCGCAGATTGTTGATGAAAACTGAGACGACGCTGGAATTAGTGAAGGTTGTGAACGCAGATTTTGAAACTGAAATATAACACTTTGGGTGTCGTTTGGATTAAACTCATGAATATAATCTCACCTGGCCAGTGGTCCGGTTGGTATCTTCCTGGCTGTTTGTTTCTGTGGAGCTTGTGGTCCTTTCTGAGGTTGCCATGGCAGCAGGTGGCGGCTGCGGCAGAAGGACACAGATCAGATCCCCAGAAACGATTCCACTGGATGACAGAGTCTGACTGGATTCTGAGAGGAGCTCTGAGCCGTTCAACGACAAACTGAACTCTGTGTCGGCGCTGAGCAGAGACAGACACAAAGATCAAACTCAGCACACACGCCTTTATCTGTATGCGCCTTTCCAGGGAGAAAGAAAAGTAAAGCCTGACCTGAGTCCATGATCGGACAGCAGCGTCTGCCTGATCAGATCTGAGAGTTCCTGCAGGGTGGGCTCCTCGCCTGGTAACTCCACCCTGCTGGTCTGTCGGTTGATCCGAACCCGCAGCTTCATCCTGCGGACAGAAAACATGCATCAGATTCAGCATGGACTCTGCTCCTGGCATTCAGTAGCGCTTTTTCATATTGGCGAATTGGCAATGTTTGACACGTAGTGCAATTTATTTAATGGCTTCACTCAGTTTTAGTTTAACTTTGAAGCTAAAAATCAACATTTGATTGACAACAACAACACATTTTAATGGTACAAACAAAAAAATGCAAACCAAATAAATCAAGTAGCTTTGTAACATGGAAAGTTGCAGACTTGAGATTCAGCATTACTAACAGAGATTATCTGTAAATATAACCGCAAACGTCCAAAAGGAAACATTTTAATTTAATCTGTAAACTGACAGAAAGCCAGCAGAAAAAAGTTGAGTCTGCATAAACTCATCATGCAGGTACGAATGTTTTCATTACACTTAAAGGTCAGATATACAAATAAATATCATCATGTTCAGAGTTCTTGACGACAAACCCCAAATAAAATAAGCCGGTGCCCTAATTCTACTTAAAAGAATGACATGATCAGCTCTAAACCCAGTTAGAACAAATCGTTTCATACCAACACTCTGTTTAGGAAATTCTGGACCCAAAACATCAACAATCTAAACGCAATAAAGCTGATGAATTTATAAATTAGACCCTCGAAACAAAAGGAAGCTCTGAGAAGTTTGAGGCAAACATTATTTACACATAACTGCTTTTTTATTGTCAGGGAAAACTGTGAAACAATTTTATTACAAGTCCTGAATCTTAACTGGTGGTCTGAGTTATTTAATTTCTGATGCGTCACTCTCGTTTTGTTTTGCTCTTTTTCCACACATTTTACTTCCTGTTAACAATGAACAACTCTGAATTTACAGAAGACGGTAACATACACTACCGTCGTTATTCAGTGGCTTCACACAAAACAGATGTTGTTAAATTAATCGTAATAGAAAATTGTTCGAGAAATCACCTGGTTTTTGTTTCGTTTCTGGAAGTTAGCAACGTTTTATTCAAGTCGCTGCGTAACAACAGTTAAGACTTTTGTCTAACCTTGTTAGTTGACTGGTTGGATAACTAAACCTCCCGTTTGCATCCAGACTGCAGCATAAGGTCAAAAATAACCAGAAAAACACTCACATTTTGTTCTAACGGACAAATTTTCCGTAGATTTCATCTCGTTTCTTTGGTGACAAACATTGCCGGAAATCCCACTTAAAGAAGCTTCCGGTTTGGATTTTCAAAATAAAAGTAAAAAATAAAATAAAAGAAAAGCTGCTTTGGGAAATATCAAATTCGTTTATTTTTATTTGACTATAAATTTTCTAATTAAAAGATGTTTAAATTTAATTTTGATATTTTTGTAATTTTTTAAATAGATTATTGATTCTTCCTCGGCATCTGGAGCAATATATATTTTTTATACTCTTGAAAACCCTGAACAACCGATTTTTCCCCAGAGGAAAACTAATTTTTAAAATTAGTGGGCAAAAAGGCCTGCTGGATAATGACTCCACCAAAATAACATTTAATTTGTGGTAAATGCGTTTACCACAAATTAATAATATTTTTTTAATTCTGTGATTCAAAAAATAAAACATAAGTCTTATAACACAACCTCCAGTTCCAGAGGCATTGTCGTCATGATAATACAGTTGTATTAAACAGCTCTAACTTTGTCATGCCAGGGACATTAGAGCTACAGCTTGTTAAAATAATTTTTATAATGGTGTTTAATGGCACAAAGAGGTTTTATTTGTCTACATGAAAACTGGCATAGTGTTAAAAAAGAAACAGGCTTCCTGTTAAATAAAGGGATATTCTGAATGTTTGTTGGTTTAGATCTGTAAATTCACATTATTGCAAATTAAGAATTAAATCCTCAACATGACACAGTAGGAAAGGTATTTAACCAAACACAAGTTAAATACGAGATGTATTTGTTTGACTTTGTGCCCATTTTAAAACTCCAGGCATCACTGAAATTCATGTAGATTAATTAGGTTTAATACACTGAATGCTGCTTATAACACTCATTTGCATGTTCACTTTTAAAATATCTCAGAAGATGTACACATCTTAGTAATAAGTCAATTTCTGTGAGAGCAAAGCTTTATGCTGTTTTCATTATAAACCTCACACTTGAAATTAAATAGACAGCATTTTATAAAATAAGAAGTCTGATATTCTCAGAATAAAGGTAGAATCTTCTTCATTCCTCCAAAAAGCACCTATGAAGATTACAAGCAATAAAAAGATCTGAACATCCAGAACACGCCATTCTTATACAATTAAGTTTGTGCTGGTGAGTTACAATCATCTCAAATTGGCTGGCGTATTGCTATAATTAGATTATTAATATTTAAATTCTTCATTGCCCCTTATTCTGATGAATTACCATCAAATTTATGTAAAAATATGATACTTTATTTATAAACTACAGACAAGGTCCCAAAGCTTTGCTGAATTAGAAGAAACAAATAGAAACTGCAACAAGTACATCAAATACAACATAATTCATGGAAGTGATGAATAGATTTAATCACAAACACTGCTTTGGTGAACTTCTTCTTACATTGTACTCAAAAATCACCACTTTTCATAAAAAAATTTATGAAACAAGCAATCTGTTCCAGCAGGCACATTAAAGAAACGAATCCTTATTTGTGTGTTTATTTCCGGCAAATAAATCCCTTTTAACTACTCATCAAATCGCACAATTACAATTATTTTTCTGTTCTTTTATTTTCACATGCCTCTGCTAACGGAGGCATCCTAAATATACTCCACACAAACTTATTTTAGTTGTTTTTTAGAATGAAATGTGGAAAAAACTCCCCACCAGCTGTAGTAAATCATCCCGTATCGAGGAGATTCGAAGGTTCCTGGGGAAAAAATAAAAACAAATATGACCCTAGTCTAGAGATAAATCTGTTCTCTTTCTGTTACAGTAACATTTATGACAAAAAAATATAAAGTTGGCAAAGATTTAATGCCTAAAACGTGACAAAGAAAACACAAATGGTGACGCTTTTCAGGCGGCTGCAGACGAGCCTACAGAGTTGTCTCTTCACGGTTCTCATGGATATTATAAGTTCCGCCTCGCTCGAGACTCCATCATTAACTGAGAATCATGGCAGAAGTTGCTCCAGCTCCCGCACCGGCTAAAGCTCCGGCTAAAGCCCCGAAGAAGAAGACCGCTAGTAAGGCTAAAAAAGATGGACCCAGCCTCGCTAAACTCATCGTGGCCGCCGTGGCCGAATCCAAAGAGCGCAAGGGGATGTCTGTGGCGGCTCTTAAGAAGGTCCTCGCCGGGAAAGGCGTCGATGTGGCCAAAGCCAACAAGCGCATCAACACCGCCGTTACCAAGCTTGTGACAAAGGGAACTTTTAGTCAAACTAAAGGTACCGGAGCATCCGGGTCCTTCAAGCTCGCTAAGGAGCCCAAAGCCACCAAGCCGGTCAAGAAGGTGGTGAAGAAGAAGGCTCCCGCCAAGGCAAAGAAACCAGCTCCCAAGAAAGCCACAACACCCAAGAAACCCGCCGCTAAGAAAACAGCAGCCAAGAAATCTCCGAAGAAGGCAGCGGCCAAGAAAGCTCCCAAAAAGGTGGTCAAGAAGAGCCCCAAAAAGAGCCCGAAGAAGCCCGCTAAGAAGCCAAAGGCTGCTAAGAAGCCTGCAGCCAAGAAAACGGGAGCCAAAAAACCCGCAGCGAAGAAGGCCAAGAAATAAACATCTTTTCTCCTCCAACCACTGCTTAAGGCACCAAAGGCTCTTTTCAGAGCCACCACTTCTACAAATTAAGACATGATTCCCAACAAGCATTGAATTAATCAGTTTATAAAATACTAGAAATGATTAAACTACCTCCAATTACATCAATAGAGTAAGTGTAATGACACTAGTGTTGAAGAACCCAAAGAGCTTCGCGCTATATTCAGTCACTGACTATAAACTGATGCAGAAACATCCAGAATTAAACTTAATGACGCTCCCTGTCAAACTGCAGTGAGGTAGGTTTTCAGTAAAGATTCTACATTAAATCTTTAAAAAAATTACATTGTAAAAGGAACTTAAATCACAGAAGTTAGCAATTTAGTGGGGATGTTTTAATTTATATTTAATATTGAAACTAAACTAGAAAGAATGCTGAGTATCTGCACAAATGAAATAGAAGACAAATGATTTCACTTTCGGATTTGAGTCACATTCAGAATTACTGGTCATAATTGTATTAAAACAGAAAAAAAATCCTGTTATAAAAATGCTAAATAAAAATACACAAACTTAAGAAATAAAGTAAAATAAGGGACAAAAAGACACACAATACACATATGTACACTGTCAGTTTTTCCAATTAAAAGAACAACGGCTTCATAATATAAAGCCAGTGTTGAGGTGAGCCATAGACAAGTTCCTGAATTTCAAAAGCAATATTTACTAGATATTGTAAGAATCTATTAATATAAATTCCAGTCTTTACTTTTTTTAAAACGCGTTAAAACACCCGTCCTTTTCTCCCCCCACCCCTTCTAGGTTCGTCACAAGACTATCGCGCTTTATTTTGAAATTTCAAATTCAACCAATAGCTGAGACAGATACGTTTCAACACGTCAGCAACTTGAACCAATCAGAAGTGCAGTCGCGCCGCCGGTTTCTTTATAAACCCCCGCTGCAGACCAGAGAATTCATCTCTTCAGTTTAAAGCGCGAAGAAACCTACTGAATTGCGATGGCAAGAACCAAGCAGACCGCTCGTAAATCCACCGGAGGAAAGGCTCCAAGGAAGCAGCTGGCAACCAAAGCTGCCCGTAAGAGCGCCCCAGCCACCGGCGGAGTTAAGAAGCCTCACCGTTACAGGCCCGGTACCGTGGCTCTGCGAGAGATTCGCCGCTACCAGAAATCCACCGAGCTGCTGATCCGCAAGCTGCCCTTCCAGCGCCTGGTCAGGGAGATCGCTCAGGATTTCAAGACCGACCTGCGCTTCCAGAGCTCCGCCGTCATGGCTCTGCAGGAGGCCAGCGAGGCTTACTTGGTGGGTCTCTTCGAGGACACCAACCTTTGCGCCATCCACGCCAAGAGGGTCACCATCATGCCCAAAGACATCCAGCTGGCCCGCCGTATCCGCGGAGAACGTGCTTAAATGACCTTATAACAAACACCCAACGGCTCTTTTAAGAGCCACCAACATGAATCTGAAGAGCGATTCATTTAATAAGTCTGTATGAATCAAGCTTGATTACTGAACAAACTTGATTTATTAAAAACTATTCTGTTAACATGGCACATTTAATACAAACGTAAAAAAAGTCTGTTCCTTAAATACTGTTATCTTGTAGTAAGGAGGCTACTTACTTGGCAGGTCAGAGATGTTAGACGTTTTGGATGAGGAATATTTATGTACAGCAATATTTTTCTATATTAACACATAGAGGGCGTGACAACTGCGCAACCCTTGTCATCTGTTACTGTCATGTATATTTTTAAGTGTTACTTTTTAAATTGTGGAGTGGTTTTGTTCTGGTAGAGTATTTAAAGTGTGTTGCTGAAGAATTGAAGTGGTTTGAATATGTTTACTAAATTAGATAATGTCATTTTAGTTGTATAGCTTAACTAAATGTTACAGTAAAATTTGGAAAGGTCAAATTTTCATTTAGAAAGTTGCCAAAATAAAGACAGAACTTCAAACTTAAAATCATTTGGCCTTTACACAATAATTTTCTAAATGTCACTAAAATATCTCATACAGATATTTTTTTATTACCAAAACATGGAACACTGAAGTAAGCAAATACTTTTTCATGTATTAAAATAATGTAAAGTATATCCTATCCGCTAAAGAGCAGAAATCGTGTCTGCAGTGCGGAAACTTGACGTAGAGCATTCTGATTGGTTAACGTCTCTTCTGCCCATACTTCACCAATCAGCGAACAGATGGTGTGGATAAATACTGATGGCCGCTGGCGTGGCATTATTTCTCCTTGAAACAAGAAGATCAAGACTCAACAAGATGTCTGGACGTGGAAAGACCGGCGGCAAAGCAAGGGCTAAGGCCAAGACTCGCTCTTCCCGTGCGGGGCTCCAGTTCCCAGTGGGCCGTGTTCACAGGCTTCTGAGGAAAGGAAACTATGCCGAGCGTGTCGGCGCCGGAGCTCCAGTCTATCTGGCGGCGGTGCTCGAGTACCTGACCGCCGAGATCCTGGAGCTGGCTGGAAACGCTGCCCGCGATAACAAGAAGACCAGGATCATCCCCCGCCACTTGCAGCTGGCCGTCCGCAACGACGAGGAGCTCAACAAGTTGCTTGGCGGAGTAACCATCGCACAGGGCGGTGTTCTCCCCAACATCCAGGCTGTCCTGCTGCCCAAGAAGACCGAGAAAGCAGCCAAGGCCAAGTAAACCCTTTACAACCAGAAGCAACAAACCCAACGGCTCTTTTAAGAGCCACCTACATCTATCTAAAGAGTCGAATCCTGAACTTTGAAAGTCTGTTGATACCAAGCACATTAAAACAATTATGAAGGGCCTTAGGTCACCATTGAGATGAGGGAGGTGATATATTTATGACTGCCCAATATTTTCTGTCAAAGGAAGATAGAAATGGGGAGAAATTTTTTGATAATAGGTTGTGGGATGATTAAATCTTAACCATTCAATTTTTACTGCTAAAAGTTCCTCCTAGGCACTACCACAAGTCTTCAACTTCACCCACATTTTCATCAATAAGCTTTACAATGTACATACCTACACAAAGAGATGTTATGCTATATTCAATATAGCCCTATATTCTTCAGCTGAATACCTAGATATTAATGCATCATCTTGTCTTCATGTTTTCACTCATTCAATGTAATTTGTTCTTTCATGAGTAATGTATTTATCTGAGTTCACAAAGTTTCTGCTGAATATTCTTTCACATGAGTTGAGTCAATAAATGCAATATTACCAGGTCTCATTAGAGCAGAAACAATGAATGAATGTTGATCTGAGCCTTTGGAAGAGTGTTGAAGAGATAAATGTATGCTTGATCTTAACATGTATGATGAAAATTTTCTTTCTGATCTTTGTTCAGGTCTATGTGTGTATAATGTGTTTCGATTACTGGGAATTGAAACACATTATGTATTTTTATAAGTAGAGTGGCTTTATGTATTTTTTAAACAAGAAAAGATTAAAATAAATCAGGAGGTTGTAATATGTATTGTAGTTTTAATTTTCAGAAGATGTTAAATTTGGTGCAACATTATTCAAGTTTCCATGGATATTTTGCTTTGTTGACAAAGGAAAAAAACTTAGCTTTATTGAGGATTTGTATTGCAATCGCTAACTCTGCGACTCCTATATATTTGGATATTAGTTTAAATCAAGGAGTTTATTTTGAGATTTTTTTTAAATAAACAGAAAGATGATTGAGCGCGTAAAGACCGAAGAAAAATGGCGGGCTGCGTGTCTCCATTTACGTCCGCAGTACGGATTTAAATTGGATTTCAACTGATGTTGTTCTTCAGTGTAGCTTTTTAACTATACACAGGAAGAACATAATGAGTGGCCGTGGAAAGGGAGGTAAAGGACTCGGAAAAGGAGGCGCCAAGCGTCACCGTAAAGTTCTCCGTGATAACATCCAGGGAATCACCAAGCCCGCTATCCGCCGCCTAGCTCGCCGCGGTGGCGTCAAGCGTATCTCCGGGCTCATCTACGAGGAGACCCGCGGTGTGCTCAAGGTTTTCCTGGAGAATGTCATCCGTGATGCCGTTACCTACACCGAGCACGCAAAGAGGAAGACTGTGACCGCCATGGATGTGGTGTACGCTCTCAAGAGGCAGGGCCGCACTCTGTACGGCTTCGGCGGTTAAATCTACCAGCTCCTTAAAACAAACAAACGGCTCTTTTAAGAGCCACCCACACTTCTTAAAAGAGATGTTTCCTATTACATAATTTGTATTATGTGTTCTGTGACGAGATGAATAAGTACTTGGTTAACGGAGTGTTTTTTTTTTTTTTTTTTTTTTTTGCCTCACTTGTAGAACTGAATTGTTAGAATGCACTAGAGAGGAATTGTATAAGCACTTCCCAAATGTGAAAAATAAACTGGGACAACAGTCCATGCTCAAATGTTGAGGTGCGGCAGTTCCCGCCAAAAAATATACTGTTACCCAATTTATTTGATCTTAAATGAGTTGATAACCCTTTCTATACCTTTCCTCCAAATTATTCTCAGCTTGTGCATCATTTAGCAGTACAGGTTTAAATTTTTAACATTTGTCAGTTAAGGGAACATGTGTTGAATGGCAGAATTAATTAGTATAAAAGGCTACTAAATATTTTTACTTGGGGATTAAATGAATTGGGTGATTTGGATTACTTGAAATTGGGTATAATATGTTGAAGAATAAAAAATAACTTGTATTTAATGTAACATACATCTATGGGAATTAAACATGCAGTATGAGAGACTTTGAAAACATTTTATACATTCAGTTTAGCGCCGAAAAGCGCAATTACACGCATGAGATGAATTGAAAACGTCTTCAACCTTCCGAGCAGCTGAGCCAATCAGAGGCAGGCGTCAGCGCACTCTGATTTATATACAGAATCTATAACACTGGTCTCTCATTCGTTGCTGTTTCCCAGAGACACATCAGGATGCCTGAACCCGCCAAGTCTGCGCCCAAGAAGGGCTCCAAGAAAGCCGTGACTAAGACGGCCGGCAAAGGAGGCAAGAAGAAGAGAAAGACCAGGAAGGAGAGCTACGCCATCTACGTCTACAAGGTCCTCAAGCAGGTCCACCCCGACACCGGCATCTCCTCCAAGGCCATGAGCATCATGAATTCGTTCGTTAACGACATCTTTGAGCGCATCGCCTCCGAAGCCTCCCGCCTGGCTCACTACAACAAGCGCTCCACCATCACCTCCAGAGAGATCCAGACGGCCGTGCGCCTCCTGCTGCCCGGTGAGCTGGCCAAACACGCCGTGTCCGAGGGCACCAAGGCGGTCACCAAGTACACCAGCTCCAAGTAAACCTACTGTTTACCCTAACAACCACAAAGGCCCTTTTTAGGGCCACACAAATACAACTAAGCGCAAGTAGTCCTTTCCATATTTACACACTTTTACTGACATTATTTTGAAATTATATTATCAAAACAATTGTTTCAAATATTTTATTCCTCAAAATCAATACTACAGCTGTTAATTCAATAAGAAATATTTATTTTTATTAGATTATATTGACATTTCCTGTGCTTTTTATATCCCCCCTCTGACTAATCTTAAAACACAGGACAGAATTTGGACAAAGTTTATGTCTACAAAATATTTTAACATCATAATTAGAAGATTTTTTTATTTAAGCAATGTGTTGTTAAATGCAAAAAAATATTTGAGATTTTTTTTGAAGCATTGACACATCACAAAAATACAATATTTCAAGAGGGAATCATAAATGTGATACAGCCTTTGTATCTATTGTTTTCTGGATCCATCTGCCTGGTGGAAAAGATTGGATACGGATTTACTTTCCGATCCAATACTGTAAATACTTTTTCAGGCTGATGTCAGTGATGCTTTGTTCAATTCCAAATGGATGGTAAATCTAAAAAATGTTTCATTATGCAGTGACTCAAATTGATATTGCCTGTAAAATATTTAATTAAGATATAGTTTACCAATACCTATATTTGTAAATTATTTAATAGTCAAAGCAAATTAGTCTGAAAATATTTATCTATAAAATATATTTTCAGTGTCTTTATCGAACATTATACTCTGTGATGTGTTTTGATCTGAAGTGTTTCACCAAGTTTGTTGCACATCTCAGTTTGCAGCAGTGACGTCCAGATGACTGAAACCACAAGTTATTCATTTATCCAGGTCAGAGAAAAGTCATTCCAACAAATCACAAAATCTATGCAAGACATCAATAGTTTCTTTCCATTTAATTTTTGTTGAAGGAATACACTTCCTGCAAATAACTGAGGTATCAAAATAAGTAATATTTTAATTTGAGAATTGATTTTAAAGTAAAAGTGTCAGAAGTATCACTATTTCAATATTGATCTGCACATCAGCACTGCCTACCTCTGCTTAATACAGGGTAACTAAATCACATTTGTTTTTCCAAAGTGTGTGCATTTGCAGGATGGTGATCAGTAAATTCACCAGCACCACTTTATGTTTGCTGGTTATTAACTATTAAGATACTTGTTAGTTTTGTCATGTGTTGCCAGGAGTTTCAATTACTATTCATCTTCCATGGGATGTTTTAACAGGAAATTTGTTTTCTAAAATCTTCATACTGCCAGAAAATGCAAATATTGATGAGATGAGTTGTGTTGTTGTAAGTCATTGATTACATTTAATTTCCCTTTGGGATTGATAAAGTATTTTTGTATCTGAATACTTGATTATAAGTATAATTTAGTTTTAATCTTTAAGAATTCAAGCAAAAATGCATGCGAGACGATTCCAAAGCCAAATAAATTTGAAAAAGGGAAGCAGAAGCATTGGAGACTAAACTTGCCTCAGTGTTTGCCTCATGGCAGTTCAGATGATTCAACTATCAATGCTTCAATATTGCTGAATATTTCTATAATATGAAAAAGTCACTTCATAATTATAGCATCAAGCTGCGCTGGAATAACAGCAGTGATCTGAAATGTTTTCAATTTAAAGTTATCACTTTTTTTCATCTATTTTTTCTTCTGAAAACAACAAACATTAGTTAGTTAATTTTTAAATTAAAACGTGATAGGTATGTAGTTACTTATATTTAATAACTATATGGCGAACATTTTTTCCCCTTCAGATTCATCCCAGAAGAATCCTGACCGGCGGCGGAATCATCGACAGCTTCCGTGTGTTTTTACTGTCGGAGAAACGTCCAAATTTAAAGCTCAGATAATCAAACTACCACAACAATTTTATTTTTATTCTTTCCACAGACTTCTCTTGTTACGATAGGACCACACTTATTTGTTCTGTAAAGTGATTTTAGATGTTTTAGGAGACGAAATGTGTTGAAAATTCATCTGCCGATGCATAGAATCAGAGGATCTATGACACCTTTGAGATCTCCTGGAACAAAAAGAAAAGCTTTTAGAAACCAAATGTGACCTCACTGTGGAGACAAATCAGTTTCCTTTCCGTTACAGTAATATTTATGTTGGAAAATATCACATTTGAGAAGATTTAACGCTTAAATGCTGCGAAGAAAACACAAGTATGGCCATTTCAGTGGCAGGCGCGGAGCGGTGGACTGAGTTGTCTCTTCACGGTTCTCACGTCTGTGATAAGTCCCGCCTCCCGCCGCACGCTGGACACGTAGCTCTACAAGTGAGAAATATGTCAGAGGTACCTCCATCATCTGTTGTAATCCCGGCGGACTTCCCACCGAAGCCTCATCCCCGGCCCAAGAAGGGAGCCAGCATCTACAAACTCATCGTGTCCATTGTGGCCGAGTCCAAGGACCGCAAAGGAATGTCTCTGACGGCGCTCAAGAAGGCTCTGGCAGTGAAAGGCATCAATGTGGTCAAGGGCAACAAGCGCATCAACAACGCCGTTACGAAGCTGGTCACAGGAGGAACCCTGAGCCGAACCAAAGGGACCGGAGCGTGCGGCTCCTTCAAGCTCGCTAAGCCTAAGAGGGAGCCAAAAGCCGCCAATCCAAAGAAGGCGGAGAAGACGGTTCCCGCCAAGGCAAAGCGACCAGCCAGCAAGAAGGTCAGCGCTCCCAAAAAACCCGCCAATAAGAAAGCAGCGGCCAAGAAGTCCCCGAAGAAGTCCCCGGCAAAGAAAGTAGCTAAAAAGGTAAAGAAGAGCCCCAAGAAGACAGTGGCAAGGAGACCGAGGACTGTGAAGAGGCCGAAGACTGCAAAGAAACAAAAGGTGGCTAGGAGACCCACAGCTAAAAAGCCAGTAGCCAAGAAAAGGCCAGTAAAAGGGCGCCCAGCTAAGAAGGCTAGGAGGTTCTAGTAACTCTGCTTCACTCACTGCTTAAAGCACCAAAGGCTCTTTTAAGAGCCACCACTCCTTCAACTCAAGAGATGGTTCCTAATGAGCATTTGAGTTTGTAGTTTCCAACATTTGAAAGTACACATAATCTTCTTTAGATTTTAACAGCAGCTTGCCTCCATTATTGTTACATTACTGCCATCTGTTGGATCCTAATACTTATGCCTCAAATTCTCTCAAAGAGCCTGCTATTTTTTGTTAAATGTCCCTTTTCCTTCATTACTAGTTCACTTAGCAACCACATTCTAACATTTCAATTACCTATTAAAACCTTTTTCCATATTCAGTCATTTTTCTTTGATTCACATTTTTTTCCTACAACTAAATAAAACATGTCTCGTTGTTTCTACAGTATCACACCAATTACATAAATCAGTGACATGTTTGCCCATCTTAAAGAGTCAATTCAAAAAACTGAGTGGTTCTTATTTTAATTATAATTATCTCCTCCCTCCTGTTCATTCCGTTAATCCTTATGACATCAACTGCATTTTATATCCTACATAAATGCATTCTATTTATTTCATTATCCCACCTAATTTTTCATCATTTCTTACTTTCTTTCCAGACTATATTTTTGCCTTCAGATTTAGATAACTTTATTGGCATACCAATAACTTCTTTATTTACAGCCTTCTTAGCCAACCTATCTGCTCTTTCATTACCCAAAATACTGACATGAGTCTAAAATATTATTACATTTTTGTTTTGTTCACACAATCTATGAACAACCACAATCTATGAATATATTTTGATTATTATTTGTACTTCCCATTTCAATACTCAATTCTGATAATGAATCACTGCAAACTATTATTTTACTTATACTGGTGTGCTTCCTGTCCCTTAGTGGGAAAATTTAGGTATATCATCAGGAGGTTAAATGTAAATGAAAGGATAAATACATATAAAAATTATGAAAATAAAGATCCTGTACAGAAAAGGAAAATTTACTACAATACAAAAAAATACTAAAAGAAGTACAATCAGATTAAGAAAAATATGCAACTAACTAGTGTAAAAAATACTTGTGCATGTACATTTGAGCATAAAAGATATCACCATGCAAAACCGGAATTATGGATATAAACTTCGCAAAAAATGTTTTAACTATTCATACTTAAAATGCATCTATTTTGTGTTTATTTTAAGAATCCATCAAAAGAAATTTAATCTCTAAAAACATTAAAATAATCCATCTTTTGTTAGTTTGCCAGTCTTCTATCGCGCTTTATTTTGAAGTCTTAGTTTTAACCAATAGCTGTGTCAGATTTGATTTCATCACGTTCGCAATCTGAGCCAATCAGAAGTGCCCTCGTGACGCTGGCAATCTGAGCCAATCAGAAGTGCCCTCGCGACGCTCACCTCTTTATAAACCCTCGCTGCGGAACAGAGCTTTCATTACTTCAGTGTTAAACACGAAGAAACTAATTTAACCGCGATGGCAAGAACCAAGCAGACCGCTCGTAAGTCCACCGGAGGAAAGGCTCCCAGGAAGCAGCTTGCAACCAAAGCTGCCCGTAAGAGCGCCCCAGCCACCGGCGGAGTTAAGAAGCCTCACCGCTACAGGCCCGGAACCGTGGCTCTGCGAGAGATCCGCCGCTACCAGAAATCCACCGAGCTGCTGATCCGCAAGCTGCCCTTCCAGCGCCTGGTCAGGGAAATCGCTCAGGATTTCAAGACCGACCTGCGCTTCCAGAGCTCCGCCGTCATGGCTCTGCAGGAGGCCAGCGAGGCTTACCTGGTGGGTCTCTTCGAGGACACCAACCTGTGCGCCATCCACGCCAAGAGGGTTACCATCATGCCCAAAGACATTCAGCTGGCCCGCCGTATCCGTGGAGAGAGGGCTTAAGCTGATTCCTAATTCGCTTCAACAAACCAACGGCTCTTTTAAGAGCCACTTATATGATTTTAAAGAGTGACTCTTCCTGGAATATATCAAACATTATGCTGAAACGATAAGCATTGTTACAAAATTTTTCCCTGTTAATTCCTATGTAAAAGCTTAAAGCAAAACTTTTTAGTGCACACTTATGGTTCATTGCTTTAATTTTATAAATTTAATTTTTCAGAAACTAATGTACCTTTAGTTGAATTTTCATTACTGGTTTTGTTCATTCTGCCTCCATATTTTTCACTGTATTTTACTCTTTACTGTTAAACATTTAAACATGACTAATTCAGTGTGCAGAAAACTACATTTGTCAGTAATTAGTTTAAAAAGGAATAGTGTTGAACAGAAGCAGCTACAATTGAATCCTTATTTACCTGTGATTCACTTCATTTTCCAAATAACCAACCAAAATGGTTTGTCCTACAGCAAATCATTTTAGCTTCAGTTTGATTTCATGTTGACTTGGTTAGATTGTTGCAAACACAATCAACTGCTTTCGAAGCATTTGTGACAGATCAAATATAAAAACATCAACTGTCTTATTTGTATGTAACCAGGATTCAGGAATCTGATTCTGCACTTTGAAACTTATTTTGAGACTCTCCACAAGCTCAGAGTGCTATAATTTAATGATATAGTTGATGTAAATTAATGAATGTGTATGTTTAGAAAGCATTGTTTAAAAGTTAGAAATCAATTTTATTCCTGAGTAATTCTGGATTCTTTTTAATAGAATGGAAATGTTTGTATATAATTCTAATGGTTCCTATTAAAATGACCAATTCTTTCAAGAAAGTTTATTTCTTGTTTATGAAGATCAAGTGATGTTCCCTGGCCCCCCATCCTGTTTTACAGCTTCCCTTTATTTTGAGTTATAATTGTAAACAACCAGAAAAGATGATTGAAATAAAAGCATGTTTCTAATAATACTTTATTTGTAATTTCTATATTTAAAAGGGAGAAAGGCATTTAGAATAAGATTTACAAATCTGAGCTTTATTCTTTAGCCATATTACCTATGTCTATGCTGTCAGCTTTTCTGACTTGCTCTTAACCTATATTATTGGAGCAAAAAAACACAGTAAAAGTAACTTTAGATGGCCTTGAAGTCTTTTTTTCAGTTAAAAGATCATTGGTCAAATGTTAAACACTTCAGTACAGCTAATTCAAGTTACATGCTCAACACTGACTGAACAAAACATTACACTAAACACAATTTTTATTTTCAACATTTTCTGTGCCTCAACATGAGGTTCAAGTTGATTTGCTGTGATCTGGACTCAAAATCTGTAATTTTTAAAGAATCAACTAGTCATATACAGAACTGAAGCAAAATGCAAACTAAGAAAATAATTTAAAGTACTAATGTAAAATGTAATTATTCAGGAAGACTCAGCATTTTAAACTTACACTGTGGTTTCAATACATGGATATAAAATGGTTAGTTTACAACCATGAGATAGAAGTGAAAACACAGCAGAGATTGTTTTGATGGCTGTGTATGTGGAGAAGGACCACAGAAAGCAGTTATGTCTGGTTTCACCATGAACTCCCACATTCTGCTCTATGCAAACAGAGAGATCATTTCCATCTCCATTCAGGTTTCTACACTCTTCAGATTAAAGTGGTTTGTCAATGTTTTAATCCACACTAAAAGTTCTGCACAGTATATGTTTATTTTGTTATCAATGTTTCTTTTAACGTTTATCTGTGTGAATTTGCTGGTGACTATACTTCCAATATAAAAGTCTCCACTGAAGGCAAAAAGTGCATTATTTTTGTTATAATTTTAATATGAAGCTTGATTCTGTGATTTAATTCAGTCTAGTTTTATTAAAAAGTGTTTATGATGTACATAGTTATACATATTGTTTTATTTTAAACCGAAAATGATGTCACAGGGAAGTTAAAACCCCTGTTGTACAACAAAACCAATAATGTTGCATATCTGTGAGCTTGTATATTTTATTTTTGAAGAATCCAGTGCCGATAAACCGGAAGTCTTCTCTCCAATGTGAAAACTTGACGCACGCACTTGTGATTGGACGACTGGCTTTCTGCTCAGCTCTGACCAATCAGTGAACAGACTGTGCCTATAAGTAGACGACGCAACGTTTTCGTTTCACTTACTTGCATTTTATCAGCGATCGAATCAACTCCATCTGAAAACAAGATGTCTGGACGTGGAAAGACCGGCGGCAAAGCCAGAGCTAAGGCCAAGACTCGCTCTTCCCGTGCGGGGCTCCAGTTCCCAGTGGGCCGTGTTCACAGGCTGCTGAGGAAAGGAAACTATGCCGAGCGTGTCGGCGCCGGAGCTCCAGTCTATCTGGCGGCGGTGCTCGAGTACCTGACCGCCGAGATCCTGGAGCTGGCTGGAAACGCCGCCCGCGATAACAAGAAAACCAGGATCATCCCCGCCACTTGCAGCTGGCCGTCCGCAACGACGAGGAGCTCAACAAACTGCTTGGCGGAGTCACCATCGCACAGGGCGGTGTTCTCCCCAACATCCAGGCCGTCCTGCTGCCCAAGAAGACCGAGAAAGCAGCCAAGGCCAAGTAAACCTTTACAACCAGAAGAAACAAACCCAACGGCTCTTTTAAGAGCCACCTACATCTATCTAAAGAGTCAAGTTCTGAAAGTATTTTAAGTGTGAAGTTCCAATTTTAATTTAGCAATTAAAGTGAGAAAATAAACATAATTAAGAAAATTTTACTTCACGTATTAATAAAGAAAACTACGAGTAATGTCTTAAACTGGTTTGTAAAAACTGTTAAAGCGCAGCCATTATGAAGACTTGTTTTATTCAGATGCATAAACGTGTATTAAAAAAACTGGATCACAACGTTCTGGATTATTCTTTACCTGGTCAGGTTAACGTAATGACAAAGCCTTTATGACATAAACTAGTTTGGGTATATCTGGTTCATGAGTAAACCAGATTAATTCCACTTTTGGAAACTCACTGTTGGAAATCCAAAGTAATTTTTATTTTTTTTCCAAATGTCAATAGTCCATTTAATGGCCCTGCAAATTGTAAGATATCAAATTTACAAATATCCAACTTTGTTCGCGTGTTTGTTCCTGAACGAAGAAACTTAATTGATGTATTAATTTATATGCACAAATTATTGCCATGACCGGTCTAAAATACATGTATTTATTTTGAAATATTGTCCAGTAAACGGAAATGGTTCCTGTTCTGTTTGCGGACTTGAAGGCGGAAGTTAAAAGATGGCGAATGCCTGTCTTCACGAACGTCCGTCATATGTGTTTAAATACAGACGCTACCCTGAAGTTTCTGTCAGTGTTGAGACAGATTTAATACTGATATCACAATGAGTGGCCGTGGAAAGGGAGGTAAAGGACTCGGAAAAGGAGGCGCCAAGCGTCACCGTAAGGTTCTCCGTGATAATATCCAGGGAATCACCAAGCCCGCTATCCGCCGCCTGGCTCGCCGCGGCGGCGTCAAGCGTATCTCCGGGCTCATCTACGAGGAGACCCGCGGTGTGCTTAAGGTTTTCCTGGAGAATGTCATCCGTGATGCCGTCACCTACACCGAGCACGCAAAGAGGAAGACTGTGACCGCCATGGATGTGGTGTACGCTCTCAAGAGGCAGGGCCGCACGCTGTACGGCTTCGGCGGTTAAATCTACCAGCTCCTTAAAACAAACAAACGGCTCTTTTAAGAGCCACCCAAACTTCTTAAAAGAGATGTTTCCTATATAATTTGTATTTATGTGTTCTGTGACGAGATGAATAAGTACTTGGTTAACGGAGTGCTTTTTTTTTTGCCTCACTTGTAGAACTGAATTGTTAGAACGCACTAGAGTGGAAATATATAAGCACTTCCCAAGTGTGAAAAATAAACTTGGAAAACAGTCCATGCTCAAATGTTGAGGTGCGGCATTTCCCGCCAAATAACATTTTAAATTAATCTCGGTACATAAAACAGAAACATCCTCTACTGAAAAATTAAAGCAAGATGGCTCATGAACACCAATTAAGATTATATTTGGTCTAGCAAATTATTTTAGCAATTTTTCCTTTGAATTAGAAAATGTTACAAAATAAATTCCAAACATTAAGTACAGCTTTGTTAAAAACACCTGAAGGAACACATAAAGCAGAGCTACACAATAAACTTAGAAAAATGTATATTGATACTCATTATTTTATACTATTGAAGCACTTAGACGTGCGAGCGAACCATGAAGACGCTTCAACGCTGTGAGCAGCTGAGCCAATCAGAGGCAGGCGTCAGCGCACTCTGATTTACATACAGAATCTATAACACTGGTCTCTCGGCACGCATTTCCTCATTCGTTGCTGTTTCCCAGAGACACATCAGGATGCCTGAACCCGCCAAGTCTGCGCCCAAGAAAGGCTCCAAGAAAGCCGTGACCAAGACGGCCGGCAAAGGAGGCAAGAAGAAGAGAAAGACCAGGAAGGAGAGCTACGCCATCTACGTCTACAAGGTCCTCAAGCAGGTCCACCCCGACACCGGCATCTCCTCCAAGGCCATGAGCATCATGAACTCGTTCGTTAACGACATCTTTGAGCGCATCGCCTCCGAGGCCTCCCGCCTGGCTCACTACAACAAGCGCTCCACCATCACCTCCAGAGAGATCCAGACGGCCGTGCGCCTCCTGCTGCCCGGTGAGCTGGCAAACACGCCGTGTCCGAGGGCACCAAGGCGGTCACCAAGTACACCAGCTCCAAGTAAACTTACTGTTTACCCCAACAACCACAAAGGCCCTTTTTAGGGCCACACAAATACAACTTGGAGCAAGAAACTTGTGCATTAACCATTCATTATTAGATTGTTTAATTTCTTAAATGCTAATGTAAAAGGGAATTTACTGCATTGTTATCAATAAAACCATGTTGAAAAGTACTTTTTCTGTTTCCCTTATCAAGTCCAGTTTTCTTAACTTGAAACATCTAAATAAAGCTAGAAGCTATTTTTAACTAATTCAAATTGGTTGATTTGAATGTTTTCTGCAAAACTGAAATAATTTGACATTTTAGTTTTGATTTTAATGTGTACCTTTCAGATAGACAATCTGTTGTTTGCAGACATAATTTATGTTATCTCCTTTTAATATCCTTTTTTCCAACAGTTTTGAAGGTCTGAAGTGCATATTTCAGAGACTAAGTTTCAGACAAAAGTTATGGAGCAAAAACAATCTAATACATCTGCAGATGGAGAGCAAAAATACACTGCATCAGGCGAAAATCATTCTACTCTAACGAACTGGAATTATTCCAACATGTAATGACAACATGATTAACTACTGTATTTCTCTAACAGAAGAAGAAAAATGTACTTCACAAAGGTTATTAAATTTTGAAAAGTCTTAAACTGAATTATACTTTGGATATCAAATATTTTTATTGTGGTGTCGTGCTGATAGTATTTTTTTTTTATTTTAAACATGACAAATTATATCACATGAACAAGGAATGGACAAGAAATATTTTTGTTCAATAAACTTAACATACTCAAAAAGGAGTAGAAAGAAGTGAGAAACTTATTTATTCGTACACCATGAACTCAAACAATATTAGATGGAACGTCATTTAAAAAATTAGAAAATGATTTTCCTTCTTATGTCCATACCCACACACTCATGTGTTAGCCTTAATTTACATATCAGTGCTGTCTCTCACCCATCTTTCTATATTAAAATGACCTTATTTTTTCTTTTAAATTGTACTATAGTTTGATTTCAACTCCACATTGAACTTCTATAATTTTACCCCATGAATTTAAATACAAAAGCTCTTTCTTGTTGTGTGTACTACAAATCCTTTTGTTTTAGTTAAAGTTATATCCTCCTTCTCTTTCATTAAACAGGCTCTCGATGCGCTCAGGTAACACTTATGTCAAGATGCCTTAAATATAATTTGAGTGATTTTAAATTCCACCAGATCTTGAAATTTAAAGTTCTAGAGTTTTTGTGTTCACAATAACCAAAATTATGGATGATTCTAATGGTTGATTTTAATGGATGCAAAGAGCTTTTGTAATTAATTTCCCACACTTCTGAATAATATGTTAAATATGGCAAAATCAGAGTTATATTGAATTAAGTGATTTATTATTCAGAATATGTCTAGCATTAGCCAGGATTGATTTGCTTCTACTTAGTTTATTCTGTAAATGTCCTAGGTCTCTGTATCTGTAATTATTTTTATTTGTTGTGACTTAAAAAAAAAAACTACCTGGTTTTCATAAAAACAGATTCATGTTCTTTGATTAAGTTCAATGTGATAGATTCAAATTTACTGTCTTATTTTGGATTAATGAGGCATTTAGATGTATGTAAATATTCAGATGGATTTAATCATTTAACACCTAAAATGTAAATGGAGTTTAGTAAAAATTGATTATTTCTTTGTAAACACAAAGCAACCAGGCGTCAAACGGTTGCCACGGTGTCCCGCATTCATCTTGCGGTTTTGATATTAGCTAGCTAGCATGCTAGCAGCGGAATACAACTGCTTATCACACAACGTGATAAAATAAGTTATTCTACCAACTTAAAGTTAGTGAATGAGATGCGTCTTAATGACCAGTAAACATAAAATTCATGATGAGAGAAAATGGAACAAAATTTTACTTACTAGCAAATATTAGAGCAAATTGTTCACAATAAGCTCTCAGTGGAGTTCCTCTAAATGAACATGTACAGGGTGAGCAACAGTTTTTATTTTAAAATATTTAAATTCATTTTTAACGTGAAAATCATTCAATGTAGTTGAATCCATCAGGCAGCCTCCAAATATGCAGCGGGTTGAAATAAAACCTGACAACTGCAAATACCGCAAAGCTGCGTGACGAGTTGCTCAGATTGAAGATATGCTGGCATTGAGTTGGAAATTATTTAATTAGCCTTACTGTAAATACAATATATTCTTGTCTGCATTCTGAATCTGACATGCGCAGTAGAGTGGCTGCTGATGACTGATATTCCTTCTATAAGGTTTTCATACGGAAGAATTTCCGGTCGTCATGAGAAAATTCAGAGATGCAATTCAACATTACATGGTTGGCAACAAAGGATCTGAGCTAACAGGTGCATATTGTCCTGATTTCACTATTTATCAAACCAGAATATTGTTTTAAAACCTTTTATTTAATAAATTGCTGTCAGAAAATACATTCTATTTTTAAGGTAACTGATTGCATGCTTGTTCGGAACCGTCTCCTGAGTTGAAGGAGTGGTGGCTCTTAAAAGAGCCTTTGGTGCTTTGCGCAGTGGGAGAGGCAGGTGTTTACCAGTAGCTCCTCCGAGCCTTTTTAGCTGGGCGCTTTTGTGCCCGCCTTTTCTTGGCCGCCGGTCTCTTAGCCGGCTTCGGCCTCCGAGCTGAGGCCTTTCTGGGACTCTTTTTGGGGCTCTTTTTAGGGCTCCTTTTGGCGACCTTTTTAGGGCCCCCTCTTGCCCTTTTGGCTGGTTTCTTTGCCGATCCCTTCTTCGGAGACCTCCTGGCTGGCTTCTTCGCCGGTGACTTTTTCGGTGACTTCTTGGCGGCTGGTCTCTTTGCCTTGGCGGGAGACTTCTTCTTCTTCGGAGTTGCCTTCCTCGCTGTTCTGGGCTTCTTCTTAGCCTTAGCTATCTTGAAGGACCCGGATGCGCCAGTCCCTCTAGTCCGGCTCAGGCTTCCGCTTGTCACTAGCTTGGTAATAGCGCTGTTGATGCGCTTGTTGGACTTGGTCACATCTACGCCATTCCTGGCCAGGAGTTTCTTGAGCGCCGCCAGAGAAACCCCTTTACGTTCCTTGGAGTCGGCCACGGCGTCCACGATGAGTTTGGAGATGCTGGGTCCATCCTTCTTCGTCCGGGAAGTGGACTTCTTCATGGAGATTTTTGCCGAGGTTTTGACAGCCGCCGGAGCTATTTCCGTCATGTTTCTGAGTTGATATCTCTTGTGTCAAACTTAGCGGAGAGGCGGGACTTATAACAGGCGTGAGAACCGTGAAGAGACAACTCAGCCCGCCGCCACGCTGCCGCCTCAAGCATGGCCACACTTGTGTTTTCTCGGCTTCATTTTACGCTTAAAATTCTAACTAAATTAAGGTGTTATAACTAAAATATTGCTCCAACAGAAGCAAAACCCACCTCTCTATGTACTGACGTTGTGTTTGGTTTCCAGAACTTTGTATTTTTTTCCCAGCACCCTTCAGACCCGTCAGACACGCTGTGATTTTGTGCGCTAAGCGGCGGGTTTTTTACACATTTCGTCTCCTAAAACATTTAAAATCGGTTTTCACAGAGCATACATGTTGTGTTTTCGTTAGCAGAGACATGTTTAAGCAAAGTACTGGTGAAAATGTTGAGGTGGTGCGATTTGTTGGAGGGTTACGGGGGAGGATTTCTCTGGCAGTAAACACATGGAAGCTGTCAGTGAATTACTGTTGCAGAACACTGTTATGGAACAGATTGATGGTGACCAGAAAGAAAACTCTTCTACTAATCCATCAGCAGAATGGATCAGCTGCTTGCGTCCAATTATTTCCATTTAGACTCGCCCAAGGAAATGGGAAAACAATATTGATCCATTCAGCAATGATTTCAGATTGATTTTTAGACCCTCACAGCATTAAGGTACACCGCTTCAGGAATCTGAACATAACAGCATCCAGATAACATCTGGTATATTAGGATATTACTCTCAACATGTAATGCATCAGAGGAAAAATATAATTTGTAAATTGCAGAGCTGTGCTACCAGTGACTACTTTACTCCACTTCCCAAACAAATTATGAATATTTTTTCAATCTGCAGAGCACTTTTCATGAATTGAAAGTTATTTTCAGACTAAGATGTATAGTTTTATCTTCATGAAGAAGAAAAAAACTGAAAAATTACACACATAACACTGAACTGAATGTTTTTGCTCATTTATTTCAGTGAGAAGCTTGATTTCAGCCAAGGCAGATATTTAGATTTCACCTAAATATCTGAAAACAAATATGAGAAGATGCTTGAAAGTTTGCTCTCCCAAGTCAGAGGATTCATTTACAGCCTAGTGATGAACTGTAATGCAGAAAGGTTGGCCTGTAATAACCAGCGAGGGAGATGTAAACATTTATAATAGCAAAGTTGTGATAGGCCTAGACATTAAATGTAAACTAAGTTTGTGTTTTGAGTTACTAAAAGATCGAAAAGTTAAAAATTTTCCTATTTAAACAATGAATAATTTTTTTAAATATCTTTTGAATCCAGTAGCGTTCTCTACTGCCATTTGAGAGCCATTGTCCTTCATCACTCCAGATTGACAGTCACTTGCTGCCATTTAGTGGGGATTTCTGAAATTGGCCAAAAAGGATTGTTGGATTTAAAGCTGCAGTATGTATGTTTTATGAAACATTTTATACATATATTTTTGGATACTTGTTGAAACTGTCACTATGTTGTGACAGCATATTTAGAGACAGATAATGTGTGGAAAAAATACAGCTCCTCTGCCTTCGCCCATTGCTCCCAGTGCTATCTGGACACAACCAATAAGAGTCAGGAGGCAAGTGTTAGCGTTGTCAATCACAGAATGTGTGGCACTGCCCACCCCCTGTTTTGATAAATCTAACAGAACCTGTTGTAAATGCTAAGGCTAGTTAGCATGAAAACAAATAACAGCTGATAAAAGGTTTTCCTGTTGTTGCTCCACCAATAGTACATTGAGCAGCGTGTACATGAGAGTGATTGACAGTGCTAAGACCCTTCTCCTGGGTCTATTTGGTTGTTGTTGGTCAGGGACCGGGAGGAGATTGATCTTTTCACAGACTTTGTATATATATATATATATATATATATATATATATATAATATATATATATATATATATATATATATATATATACAGTGTTGTATAAAGTACTGAAATCTCGGAGTCAAGTAAAAGTATAGGTACCGCTCCAAAATATGACTTTGGTAAAAGTAAAAGTCACTGATTGAAATGTTACTTGAGTTAAAGTCTTAAAGTATCTGAAATGTCTTGTACTTAAGTATGGAAATTACTGTAACAATGGATGTACTCAAGTAATGTAATGAAAAGTACAAGTAAAAACTAAAACAAGTCAAATGCAGTTTGAATGACATTTTTTATAAACTTGTTAAATACACTTAAAATAATGTACACAACCAAGTGCAGGCAAAATAAAACCTGCTAATAGATAAACCTGCAGCATCATTTAGTTAAGAAAATTGGGTGCTTCACTTTAATCACAAGGATTATCTTAACCCGCTTTAGGTTAACTTAACCTGCTTTACAACTGAACCAGCTTCTTAGTAAACCCTCCAGGACAGAAAATACAAAGTTTCTATAAGCCTCAAGTTTTCCCTTTCAGTAAGGTCAGTGCTGAAAATGAGAAAAATAAATAGTCAGTACAGAAAATGCGGCCAACATGAAGAAAAAAACATGTTGCGATTACTCTATTTCACAAACTATAGGTGCACACAACTGGTCATTATGCAAAAGAAAAAAAGAATTGGGAGGGAAATGCAGCTTATTTGGCATCTGAAGAGGGAGAGCTTTTAGTTAACTTGGTGTTTAATGGGAGAAGCGAAACAGACCTCCGTGAAGCTGACACCCCACCTACTCAAATAATCCAGCAAATAGTCTGATTGGTTTGTGCTCACTTGGTGCCATTTTCGTTTGTGCAGCTTTGGTTTCCGAGATATTAAAAATTATTTTTAGGCCATCCAAAACATATACTTTTTAAGATTACAATTACTGGGAATGTGTCATGAATTTTGTGTCAGTTTGTCACAAGGCAAGAAATCTATTTCCATGAGTTTCTCAGGAGAGTTTGGATGTGAAATTTGTTGACTCTGTCTGAGTGAACCTCTGAGCGCAAGAGGAAGGAGGAGACCTAGAAAACGGCTGGCCGAAATTAGCGTTCACGAATCGGATCAACCTCGAGTTGGGCGCAGCTCACACCTGATATTGGAACAGTCAAAATACAAATTGAAAACAACTTTGCTGCGTTTGTTTTAACGGCACAAACCTGCAAAATGAACCAGCCCATTTCGGTTTGTTTTGGAGCAAAATGCGGGGATGGTGAACTCTGGATGGCCTAAAAAATCATTTTAATATCTCGGAAACCACACTGAAAAAAAATAAGTCATTGGATGAACATAAAAAAATTATGGAAAGGATTTCCACCTGATTACTTTGCTTTATTTCAGCACCATGTACTTGTGTTACTCCTATTTAAAGCAAATGTGTTAGGTCAACCTAATTTATTAAGATTATTCCAATGTAAAGCAAATGTGTTGGCTCAACTTGTCACAATGGTGATTCAATGGGTGATTCTAAATCAAACATGTTGGCTCAACGTAATATATTGTGGTTATTCTTATATAAATAAAATGAGTTGGCAAAACATAATTCATTAAGGTTGTTCTAATTTAAACCAAATATGTTGGCTTAACCAGAATTATGGTAAGGCAATGGATGATTGTAAATCAAATGAGTTGGCTCAACTCCATTCATTAAGGTTATTCAAATTCAAATGAAATGTGTTGGCTCAACATATGTTTTAAAGGTTCCTTTAACTCAGTTACTATAGCATGACCCAGTGTAGTGCAATACAGCCCGCCCAACTAATCTGCAATGTTTAGGACCAAATCATTGATGTAACTTCATTAAGATGAATGTAGATCTAGTTGAAACCACCTTATTTTACAGTGGTACCTTCACACTACCTGATTCAGTAGGTCCAACTCACTAAAAGCAAGTTAGCTCAACAAATATGCTTCATGCTAAAAGACAGCTAGTTAATCGTGTGGAAATCCTTTCCATTATTTCATGATGTTAGTTCAAAGACATTTTTTCAAGCGTTAATCAAGCATTTTAAGATAGCACTAGGTGAAAGTGTAGGAAGAACACTCAACAATTAGAAAAGGTACAACACAATTGTATTTTCAGAATTGTTATACATCGTTTTTTACACAGCACAAAACACAGCTGAGTTGGACATTGAAATAAAAAAACAACTACAAAAAGGTTACAGTTTCATTTCCCAGCCAATTCTTTACAACATAAAAACATGTCAGTATAGTTGCTCAACTTAGAGAACTGTAACAATATAAATCTTTTCTACTGCAGACTTTAAACACTCATTTTCCATGTGAAACTTTGCTCAACTTAGCAGCGAGTTTCATATTGAGAACTTGTGCTTTCTTTGATAAGTTCTTTCCATCCAATTTCATTATTATTTCTGTATTACTTCAAAGGTATGCTTGAGTTTACTGAGCAAGTTGAGTGCTGAACGCACTAAACTTGAGGGTAGCTCAAGTTAGTGCATAGATTAGTCCCAGCAGCATCACTATTGCAGAAGATACACTGCCCAAGCTGTTCATAACTTCCACCTCCTCCAGGACAATCCCAACATCCAGATGTGCATCGGCAGCCTCTGCACCCTCTGCTCAAATGACGATTCCGAGGACAGTCTCGGCTTTGGCCATTTCTGCGCATTCATCAACGTCCTAAGGGAGTTAGGGAAGGGTATTGGGGAGAGACAATTCACATGTAATTAAATAAATAAATTAAGACTGACATTGATTGAGTCACTCATGGACCTTAGTTGTTGAAAGTATTTTAACAACTCTTAGGAGTTCTATTGTAAACACAAAGAGAATTTAACATACCATGTACTCCCTCACCAGCTTCTCTGGATCTTCATTTAGGTACACACAGACCTTTGAGGATGCACTCTCGTCTGACCTCAGCAGTGTCTTCCTAAATATGCAGATCAAAAAACAATGAGAACAATCTCAAAACTCCAGCAGTATAGGTTCACACACTTGAAAACATAGCTACATTCAAAGGAAGTCACAACAAAGTGATCAGTGGCTTGCAGTCTATTTGAAAGATATTTAAAATTGTTAGTATCCCTTCATTATGCCATGACTAAAATTGAGTTTAACATCTCATTTAAACATCTAACTGAAGCTGTTAGATGTTTAAATAAAGACATGAATATATCACCAAAGAAATATGTGAAAAGTACAGAATGGTCAACACAGTCTATATCCTTCTACTTAAATGAATATGCAAAGCATTCCATGTCTTACAAGTACATGGACAGTCTATGTGTGGGCATGGATAACGTCGCATATGCCGGTGTTTAAGTGTAAAATGTTTTAACAGGTCATATCTACGAGACAGAGAGAGACTACACTCCTTACATTTCCACATCCCCACGCAAATAAAGACAAATAAAACAGACTGGCCAAATAAATGTTTAGCTGAACCCTAGCTTATAAAGCTAGGGTTCAGTCACTTTAGATCTGGCAAAACTTACTATTAGCCACTGAAATCTATAACTTGATAGCCGATGAGCCCCTTGACCAGTACTTACGCAGGTGGATTACAGACAGGTGATGTTCTGAAAGAGATCAGATATATTTTCAGCCATTAAAATATGCAATTCATACTGAACTGAGTTGTATCTTTTAGTACAAGTCCCTTGAATGCCTCATGAATATAACCACTGGACACTTGTATGCAAGCACATATGTGCAGAACAATGGTGAATTGAACATGGTAGAAAGCAATAGTAACAAAGGTCAAAATGAGCACAAACAATCAACACAAAAAACATCAACATTTCAAAATTAAACCAATGAACTTCAATATTGTTTCTGAGCTACAATTATTTGGGACAACAAAGAAGAGTCCAAAAAACCCCAACATCTTTACAGCAGAGGGATATGTATTTTAAAGAAAAAAATAGAAAGCTCAAGTCTGTAATAATGGATAATCCATTGAGAGTTTTAGCCTGACAAAATATACTAGAAATCCATAACTAACAGGTATTTAAGGAACATTTAACAAAGCTCAGAAAGCAATGCTTTCTGCAGGTTTCACCGACTGAAATGTAGGACTTTTTATTACCATAATTAATTAAGAATCTCGATGATGATAGAAAGGTACCAAAGTGTGTGTATCTACATTTACCTCCATAGTAACATTACTGAAATAGAATTAAAATAGTTAGAAATAGACTGATGTTAGATCCGTGTGTTAAAAATCCTCTAAACCTCCAGGGAGCTCAGGAGGAGCAAAACTGTGACATTTCTGGGGTCCATTTGTGTCTCTGGCTGCAGCTTTGTGACCCTTACACTACATATGGCTCTGCAGAGTTTTTTCGCACAAAATGTACCTAACATGGTGCGGCGATAAATGTAAACAAAAAGCTATCTGCCTTAACCTAACCGACTTAATCTACAGAACATGAAATAATGTGACACAAGTATGGAACAAGTAGAAAATGGTGCAAATGGTAGAGAAATTTTAAGTTACATATTTTTATATGGATTTAGATGAAAATAGTTTGACTCTTACCTTCTTCAAATTAAGTAGATGCACGCCAGGAATCTCCCCTCTGCCCTTGAAAAAACCCAACAAGGTGCAAGCCAGTTATCTCGCGTGATTTTTCGTAATCTCTTGATGTCGCTGGATCCTCTTCAGCGGGAGATGAGTCTGACACAATAGCGCTTTGGAACTGACGTCACTGTGTTTTTTTTATTAGATTAACTTTGACAAATATTGATATTGAATAAAATAAAATTATATATATAAAATATGCAAACATATATATATATATATATATATATATATATATATATATATATATATATATATATATATATATATATATATATAGAGAGAGAGAGAGAGAGAGAGAGAGAGAGAGAGAGAGAGAGAGAGAGAGAGAGATAGATAGATATATATATATATAGAGAGAGAGAGAGAGAGAGAGAGAGAGAGAGGTCCTGCGCAGTATCTTGGCACAGCCAAGATACTGCGCAGGACCCTCAAGCTCCCAGGCTCAGAGGATAAGAACCACCCGCGGTGGGTATATATATGTTAATTAGATGTATTCAAGTTGAGATAACGTCATTCAATCACGTTAGCTCACCTTGGATTTAGTTTAGTTTAGCTCAACATGATTACATTTTATAAACGTTGAAGTTGTGGAATATCTTGTTTATGCAACATGATTGTATCATGTTTTTAGCTCAAACATGGAATTATTTAGTTAACAGTACATAATATTCTTTTGTTAATGTGATAACCCCTGAGGTTCCTTTTTTACAGTGCAGCTCTGGTCACTGTTTGGGTGGAGGGCGGGAGATAACGCGATAATTTATATAATTTACAATCTGCTGTGTAATGATGGCATTTTATAAAATTGTTGACCGTGTGTTCTATTACTTTGTACAAATTCATTTTATGTTAATATACATAATTTTGGTGGACCTGAGATCATTTTCTGAAAAAGAAATTTAACTAAATAAATCACAACATACGTGTTTGTATATCTAGCTTGTAAACCCTGATATGTGAATGAAGGAACAAAAATGGGTTTTATATAACGCAGAGCATGTTTTTAGAGCCACAAACATTTCTCTACCAACTTAATTAGTGTTCATAATTTAATGAAAGTAATATTTCTTTATAACAAGTGTCAGATTTACGAAGAATCAACAGATTACATATTCAGTTTCATTTATTCATTTCTTAGCTCTCAAGACCCTAAAATATTTTTTCTAGTTATACTTTGAGTACGAAAAATGTAAGCCACGATTTTCATTACCAACCGTCCCTCTGTACGTGTAAGTAAGTATACAGCACCATCTGGTGGACAACCAAATGACAAAAAATGTCCGTATAATATAAGGAAATCATAATAAAAACCAATACGTTAGTTTTCTGTTATTACTTAGTCATTTGTGGGGCACTGACATGTTTATTTACACCCTTTTCTTAAGATAAATAACTGGATTTAGTGAAATAAAATTTGACGGATCTTCACAAAAATATGTTTTATTTCTTAATTTTTATTTCTTAAAAGAAAATATGTCCATCTGAAATAAACAATATTAATTCCTGTATGCAGTATGGAAATTATACTGCAACTAAAATTATTATGCTTTGGTGCTTGGTTTTGTAAGCGGAAGTCATTGAAACTATTCTGATTGGACGGCTGGCCTTCTTGTAAATAATGACCAATCAGTGAACAGAGGAGACATATAAGTGCTGAAAGCGTCGCCTACATGGAATAATTTTGATTTTTGTCAGAGTCGGAGTAAACTTCAACTATTCAAGATGTCTGGACGTGGAAAGACCGGCGGCAAAGCCAGAGCTAAGGCCAAGACTCGGTCATCCCGTGCGGGGCTCCAGTTCCCAGTGGGCCGTGTTCACAGGCTGCTGAGGAAAGGAAACTACGCCGAGCGCGTCGGCGCCGGAGCTCCAGTCTATCTGGCGGCGGTGCTCGAGTACCTGACCGCTGAGATCCTGGAGCTGGCTGGAAACGCCGCCCGCGATAACAAGAAGACCAGGATCATCCCCCGCCACTTGCAGCTGGCCGTCCGCAACGACGAAGAGCTCAACAAACTGCTTGGCGGAGTCACCATCGCTCAAGGCGGTGTTCTCCCCAACATCCAGGCCGTCCTGCTGCCCAAGAAGACCGAGAAAGCAGCCAAGGCCAAGTAAACCTTTAAAACCAGAAGCAACAAACCCAACGGCTCTTTTAAGAGCCACCTACATCTATCTCAACAGCAAGGTCCTAAAATGTATCTCCAGACCACAACATATGTACATGCCTACAAAGTTACAAATTGTTTCCGCCAACATTGGTTTTTCTTCAAAGCAGTGGGACATACGGTACTAGATATCTCCTGAAAATTTTAACTATTCCCAAAATATCCTGAAATCAAATGTTATTAAACACTGAATGTACAAACAAGCATAGCTTTCTGAATTTGTCAAAATTTAATAAACAATGCTTTGTCTACAAACCACCAGATTGGGTTAAATGAACATTTCTCAAGCTACTGTGACAGAATCCACGTAAACCAAATATGTAAAATCCACTAATTGCATTAGACCGTAACATAATTCTTTTAGATAAATACAGCCCAAAGAGATTTAACATTATACAACATGAGATGGAAAAAATACTCAAATTAGGATTTGTTTAAACAACAAAAAGGTATCAAAAGGATTGAGATAATTTACTTAAAAAAGTAATAAAATAAATTGTACACAGGTGGATATGTAAATTAATTTAATGTGAAATAAATTCATTTTTTTATCTATTCACAAAAAGAATTAGTCCTTGTAATTCTTAGTTTGATTAGTTCTTATGCATTATTTGTTTTTATTTTGTAATATTAATTGAGGGGAAATGTGTCTGCTCTTTGGCGTAATCTTGAGGCGGAAGTAGAAATCTGGCGGGTTGAATGTCTTCACTTACGTCCGTGACACCAATTTAAGTTCAGACGTTCAGTCTTCCACGGTCAGTATCGTCATAAAACTGAGGCATAATGAGTGGCCGTGGAAAGGGAGGTAAAGGACTCGGAAAAGGAGGCGCCAAGCGTCACCGTAAAGTTCTCCGTGATAACATCCAGGGAATCACCAAGCCCGCTATCCGCCGCCTGGCTCGCCGCGGTGGCGTCAAGCGTATCTCCGGTCTCATCTACGAGGAGACCCGCGGTGTGCTTAAGGTTTTCCTGGAGAATGTCATCCGTGATGCCGTCACCTACACCGAGCACGCAAAGAGGAAGACTGTGACCGCCATGGATGTGGTGTACGCTCTCAAGAGGCAGGGCCGCACGCTGTACGGCTTCGGCGGTTAAATCTACCAGCTCCTTAAAACAAACAAACGGCTCTTTTAAGAGCCACCCAAACTTCTGAAGAGACGGCTCCTGATTTTTAATATTCACTGTTATAGAAGTCATATGTAAAATACTTGATACCCTTTATGTTTAGAACAAAAACACTTGATTGTTGGGACTAGTGTTTTGTATTGATTTATTGAACTCTAACCCCCATATTGTGCCGACAAAATTTTAATATTGCATTGTACTAAATACGTTTATGATGTATAAAATGGGGTAATTGTAAATAACATTCATTCTCACGTAAATAAGCCCTGCATCAATATTTTATTTTAGACATTCAATAAACAAATATTCTTTTGAATATTTTTTCTTCACTTTGAGTATCCAAGAATACCCAAGTAAGGGTAACTAAGTACCCGGACTTGCTACCCTTTTACATAGTGAAAGTGAAAAATGTGGTGAAGCGGCTCTTAAAATTTTTTTCCCCAAAAAAAGTTACTCCAGTAAGTGTGACTGCGTAAATATAATTACTAGATATTCACCTCAGCCATGAACTCACTTTCCTAAAATTTAAGGTGGAAAAAATGAAATCAACAAAAATCCATGTAAAATGTCAGACATTTTACATGGATTTTTATTCAGGAGTCAAAAGATATTATTAATATGCAAGTGGCAAATGAAAAACTTTGATAGTTTCTTTCTCATGTAAAAATATCAATAACTGATGATTTCTGTTTGAAATCTAAAAAAGAAAAAAAAACAAAGGGAAATGTCAAGGCAGTGCTCTAGAGAGCGCTCACAGCACACAGACACGCTAACCTTCCGATGAGCTCAGCCAATCAGAGGCAGGCGTCAGCGCACTCTGATTTACATGCAGCCTCTATAATACTAGTTTGTACTCAAGCTTCCTCATTCGTTGCTGTTTCCCAGAGACACATCAGGATGCCTGAACCCGCCAAGTCTGCGCCCAAGAAGGGCTCCAAGAAAGCCGTGACCAAGACGGCCGGCAAAGGAGGCAAGAAGAAGAGAAAGACCAGGAAGGAGAGCTACGCCATCTACGTCTACAAGGTCCTCAAGCAGGTCCACCCCGACACCGGCATCTCCTCCAAGGCCATGAGCATCATGAACTCGTTCGTTAACGACATCTTTGAGCGCATCGCCTCCGAGGCCTCCCGCCTGGCTCACTACAACAAGCGCTCCACCATCACCTCCAGGGAGATCCAGACGGCCGTGCGCCTTCTGCTGCCCGGAGAGCTGGCCAAGCACGCCGTGTCCGAGGGCACCAAGGCGGTCACCAAGTACACCAGCTCCAAGTAAACCTGCTGTTTACCCCAACAACCACAAAGGCCCTTTTTAGGGCCACACAAATACAACTTGAAGCAAAAATCCTGTTTAATACAAAAGTTGAACTTTTGTATTAAACATATGAAAGGTAAAGTAAACACAGCGTGGGAGTTCCACCCACTCAATGGTAACTGTTTTCACATTTTGTAATAGTAAAACGTGCTGATTCCAGTTGTCATATTCGTGAAAGATTTAGTTTTAATAAAAGCTCTATTTTGGTTAGTTGGTTCTAGACTGATATACAGCAAAAAATGTCTTCATATGTATCTATATTGTATAATAAATTAGCTTTTCAGTTTAACCTGTATTTTTTTCTAATCCATGCTCAATTCATGAAAACCAGTCATCCCTAATAGTTTTTCTTCAGTTATATTCCATTGAACTGACAATTATAGCTTTCAACTAAAGACAAACGCAAGGAAACAATATAATAGATCCTTCACTTTGGGGGCAAAAAATGTAAGGATGTACCTATAATTTTGAATTTGATTCTTTTTTGCTAGATTCACACTTTTTTTAAATAGTTATACATTTCCGAATAAAACTTGACATCAATAGCCCACCATTCATAATATTTGTCTTAAGGTAGATATAGGTGGCTCTTAAAAGAGCCGTTGGTTTGTTGAAGCGAATTAGGAATCAGTTTAAGCCCTCTCTCCACGGATACGGCGGGCCAGCTGAATGTCTTTGGGCATGATGGTGACCCTCTTGGCGTGGATGGCGCACAGGTTGGTGTCCTCGAAGAGACCCACCAGGTATGCCTCGCTGGCTTCCTGCAGAGCCATGACGGCGGAGCTCTGGAAGCGCAGGTCGGTCTTGAAATCCTGAGCGATTTCCCTGACCAGGCGCTGGAAGGGCAGCTTGCGGATCAGCAGCTCAGTGGATTTCTGGTAGCGGCGGATCTCTCGCAGAGCCACGGTTCCGGGCCTGTAGCGGTGAGGCTTCTTAACTCCGCCGGTGGCTGGGGCGCTCTTACGGGCAGCTTTGGTTGCAAGCTGCTTCCTGGGAGCCTTTCCTCCGGTGGACTTACGAGCGGTCTGCTTGGTTCTTGCCATGCTATTACTGTTTTCTTCTCGTTGTACACTTAAGAGATGCGCTCTCAACGCGAACAGCGCTCTTATAAGGAGATTGCCAGCAGGAGGTCACTTCTGATTCGCTGAGGTTGCTGACGTGGTTAGACCAGCCTCACTCAGCTATTGGCTAGATTTGAATTTTCAAAATAAAGCGCGAGAGAAGTCTAACGTAAAAAGAAAGAGGGGATGGGGGGGATGTTACACGTTTAAAAGAAAACGTTGAAATTTATATCAATGGATCCTTACAATATCCACAGAATATTCTACTTTTGAAATGTAATGATTATTACTAAAATAATTTTAACTATTGCTCATCACTATAATTATTTGCATCATAAAACCTTATCTTATTATAAAACAGTTGTCTGCACAAAAGTTCATGTCGCTCCTTTTATCATTTTTTTATTTTCTTAATTGATCTTAATAGATCTTAGTTTATGTAAGATCTCATTTTCAGCAGGTCCCTTCAAATACATAAAACATAAATACATCCAAAATATAACACACAAATTACATGTGTGTAATACATGTGTAATATAAATGCATTTGAAAATCTGTACTAGTTAATAAAATATATTTTATTGATCTCCATGGAAAAATTGCTTATTCACTGAGGTTTACCTTCTAAATTGTTAAACATTAGTATTTACATATATAAAAATAAACTATATAAAATTGACATAAAAAACCCTCTTGCTCCTTCTGTTTCATTTGAGTTGGAAATATTCAGTATGCTTTTTAGTTCACACCCTAAATAATAAATATAAATTTAAACCTGTTGAATACATTATTTCAGTAGTTTACACCCATCTGTCAAAAAGGACACAATTTTAATCTAAAATCACTCAAAACTTAATTAGCTGCAGCTTAAATACAGGGAGTCAATATTAAATAGTTCATTGATTCTGCATATTACTGTAAGCAGTTTTAAAAGGAATTAATACTTTGAAACAGGCATATTCTAGAATAGTTGATATCAAAATTATAATTGTATTTAGCTGTTCTATGGACCACATTAACATTCACAGTTAATCCAGTTGATATGTTTGTAATATATATATATATATATATATATATATATATATATATATATATATATATATATATATATATATATATATATATATATATGCTGTGAACAAAATAGCAGATTATTTACAGGAATGTCTTAATTTGTAGAAGTGGTGGCTCTGAAAAGAGCCTTTGGTGCCTTAAGCAGTGGTTGGAGGAGAAAAGATGTTTATTTCTTGGCCTTCTTCGCTGCGGGTTTTTTGGCTCCCGTTTTCTTGGCTGCAGGCTTCTTAGCAGCCTTTGGCTTCTTAGCGGCGGGCTTCTTCGGGCTCTTTTTGGGGCTCTTCTTGACCACCTTTTTGGGAGCTTTCTTGGCCGCTGCCTTCTTCGGAGATTTCTTGGCTGCTGTTTTCTTAGCGGCGGGTTTCTTGGGTGTTGTGGCTTTCTTGGGAGCTGGTTTCTTTGCCTTGGCGGGAGCCTTCTTCTTCACCACCTTCTTGGTCGGTTTGGCGGCTTTGGGCTCCTTCGCAGCGAGCTTGAAGGACCCGGATGCTCCAGTCCCTTTAGTTTGACTAAGAGTTCCCTTTGTCACAAGCTTGGTAACCGCGGTGTTGATGCGCTTGTTGGCCTTGGCCACATCTACGCCTTTCCCGGCCAGGACCTTCTTGAGCGCCGCCAGAGAAACTCCCTTGCGCTCCTTGGAGTCGGCCACGGCGGCCACGATGAGTTTGGGGAGGCTGGGTCCATCTTTTTTAGCCTTGGTAGCGGTCTTCTTCTTCGGTGCTTTAGCCGGAGCTTTAGCCGGTGCGGCTGCTGGAGCAACTTCTGCCATGATTCTCAGTCACTGTTAATGATTCTCTGAAATCGTCCAGCAGGCGGAACTTATAACATTGATGAGAACCGTAAAGAGACAACTCAGGCCGCCGCTCTGCCGCCGTCTGAAATGCGTCCACATTTGTGTTTTCTTCGTCACATTTAAAGCTTTAAATCTCAACTAAAGTGGCGTTTTCTGTCTTAATTATCATCGTGACGGAAAGACGATTGTTCTCTCTCTACAACAAGGTCATATTTGTCTGGCAGGACTTTCTCTTTTTGATCCAGGAGCGCTGGAAGGTGTCAGAATCTCTTTAATTCTGTGCATCGAGTAGCGAGTTTTCCCCACATTTCTTCTCCTAAAACATATAAAACCATTTTACGGAAGACATAATCGCGGTGCTCTCGATAAAAAAGAAGGTTGCGGACAGAATAAAAGTATTTTGGTTGTAATGTTCGGATTATCTGGGTATTAAATAGGGATGGTTTTCCCGGCCGTAAACACACAGAAACTGTCTATGAATAAACCAGTCAGGATTCCTCTCCTGGAAGAATCCAATAGGAATGGCTTATAGCCCATCAAATAAACAATAACAATAAATATTATCAGAATTTTATATCAGATTTTGATGTAGAAGTTCATATACGCAGTATGTGATCATTTTTGTCGGAGTAGAAAATAGATTTATTTCCTCATTATATCTTTGCATTTGCATTCACAAATCAGATTGATGGACTCATTTCACAAATGTTAACTAAAAAAAATCTTTGTATATTAAATATTCTGTAGACTTTTATGTTATTTAAACTCTCAAATTCAATTGATAGTCTCAAGTAAAACATTTTGAGATATTGATTAGTAATATTTAATCCAGCCTTTAATGCAACTTAAGAAAATGAGGGGTGGATAGTTTAGGGTGCAACACTTAGACTTTTATGATGTCATTCAGATCATTTTTGACATGGCTAAAACTATTTCTCAGGTGAATGATATTACATATATAGAGTTAAAATGTGTTTAACTTCTATTGGAAATCTGTTTCAGCAATAGGTATGGATTTAGAATAATTTTCCCAATCTATACAGAAATGAAAATCAAAGTATATTTGTATAATCGGTTTTAAATGATTGATTTTCAGAGTTGTAGCAGTATAATCAATTTAGCTGGCAGTTTTCAACATTGGAGGAATCAATGAAATATGAAGCAACTATTTGCTTCCATCAAGCAAATGTCTGATCAAAATCTAATACTTATTTAAACAATTTATTATTAAACTGGTTTTAGATTAGAGAAACGTGGTAGAAAGTAGTTTGGAAAATTATGGTGTTTGAAGTAGAACATTGTAATTTTTTACAAGTGTTAATGGCTAAGCAAAATATGAAAGGATTTAAATCACAATAGTTTTTCTGAACTAATGTACAAAACAATATAAGGACATTTGCTCCAAGTTGTATTTGTGTGGCCCTAAAAAGGGCCTTTGTGGTTGTTGGGGTAAACAGTAGGTTTACTTGGAGCTGGTGTACTTGGTGACCGCCTTGGTGCCCTCGGACACGGCGTGCTTGGCCAGCTCTCCGGGCAGCAGAAGGCGCACGGCCGTCTGGATCTCCCTGGAGGTGATGGTGGAGCGCTTGTTGTAGTGAGCCAGGCGGGAGGCCTCGGAGGCGATGCGCTCAAAGATGTCGTTAACGAACGAGTTCATGATGCTCATGGCCTTGGAGGAGATGCCGGTGTCGGGGTGGACCTGCTTGAGGACCTTGTAGACGTAGATGGCGTAGCTCTCCTTCCTGGTCTTTCTCTTCTTCTTGCCTCCTTTGCCGGCCGTCTTGGTCACGGCTTTCTTGGAGCCCTTCTTGGGCGCAGACTTGGCGGGTTCAGGCATCCTGATGTGTCTCTGGGAAACAGCAACGAATGAGGAAGCTTGAGTACAAACTAGTATTATAGAGGCTGCATGTAAATCAGAGTGCGCTGACGCCTGCCTCTGATTGGCTGAGCTCATCGGAAGGTTAGCGTGTCTGTGTGCTGTGAGCGCTCTCTAGAGCACTGCCTTGACATTTCCCTTTGTTTTTTTTTCTTTTTTAGATTTCAAACAGAAATCATCAGTTATTGATATATTTACATGTGAAAGAAACTATCAAAGTTTTTCATTTGCCACTTGCATATTAATAATATCTTATGACCCCTGAATACCATGTTAATGATATATTGACTTTTTACATAGGTTTTTTTTTTCTTTTTTTTTCACCTTTCACTTTAGGTATGTCTCAGGGGATTGTGGAGGTGGATATCTTTTTATTACATTTAATCAGTCACATTCACTTGAGTAACTTTTGGGGGGAATAAATTATTTCGGGAACAGCTTTACCACATAGTTTTCACTTTTATTATGTAAAAGGGTAGCAAATACAGGTACTTAGCTACCCTTACTTGAGTAAATTATTCTTGGATGCTCAGATTGAAGAAAAAAGGACCGCCTGTAAAACCTTTCCATTAGAAAAGCTCTATTTCGGAACTGCGGACGTAAGAGAAGACACCTTAACTGGTTCGGTTCATTTACATGGGAACAGCTTTTGTATTAACATTTAATTCAATCACTGCACTTTGTTATAGCATGTGATATTTCTTTAAACAAAAATTTTTATCTCAAAATTTACTTTAGTAACCAGTTTTGAATTCTGTACATCAGTTTCCTTTCCACGATGTTCTTGTTTTCTTTAGAGTATTATAGCACAGCTATAAACAGCAGGTTTATAGCTGGTTTACAGCTATAATACTCTAAAGAGTCAATGCACAGCTTCAGTTATTACAACTAAAAACTAGCGATCAGGCCCGAAACCTGGGAGTAGTGATGGACTCGGACTTGAACCTCCAGAGCCACATATAGACAGTAACAACATCGGCCTTCTATCACCTGAAGAACATCTCCAGGATTAGAGGACTAATGTCTCAGCCAGATCTAGAGAAACTCATTCATGTGTTTATCTTTAGTCGCATTGATTATTGCAACAGCATCTTCACAGGCCTTTCCAACAAATCAATCAAACAGCTGCAACTGATCCAGAATGCTGCTGCTCGCGTTCTCACTAGAACCAGGAAAATAGAGACATAACACCAGTTTTAAAGTCCCTCCACTGGCTCCCTGTAGCTCAAAGAATAGATTTTAAAATACTGTTGTTAGTTTACAAATCACTGAATGGTTTAGCACCACAATACATCAAAGATCTGCTGTTTTTGTATCAACCTTCCAGACTCTCAGGTCTTCTCTGCATCCCCAGAACCAGAACCAAGAGAGGAGAAGCAGCTTTCAGCATCTATGGACCAAAAATTTGGAACAAACTTCCAGAAAACTGTAAAACAGCAGAAACCCTGACTTCCTTCAAATCTCAAGTAAAAACGCACCTGTTTAGAGTTGCATTTGAAATGTAATATGTATGAATTTGATTTTGTGGATATGTATGTAACTTTTTTTTTTTTTTTTTTTTTTCCTGTTGTGGGCAACGGGGCCCGGCGAATACCCGTGGTTAAACGGACGGCGGAGTCCGGCGGTAACAGGCGCTTACATTCCATGTCAAAGGGAAGGGGGAAGAAAGGAAAAGAGAGGGAAAAAAAAAAAAAAAAAAAAAACCTTGGTATTTTATTCTATGTTGCATGCCTTTGTGTTTTGTGTTTATGATGTAAAGCACTTTGAAATGCCTTGTAGCTGAAATGTGCTATACAAATAAAATTTGATTGATTGATTGATTGATAAATGTTGACTGGGACTTTTCACACTTGTGTTTACTATGGCTAATTAAATTTATGTATATCATATTTATGGTGTCCCAAGCATCAGACTTCACACTTCTTGACATCATCCATTATATTCTGACCAGAACCTATCGGGATGCAAAGAACTTAACAGAGACTTCAGGTGTTCTTGAACATAAACACAAAATTACACTTCCATTAACTAGTAACTACTACTGAGATTTTAGAGATGATTACGAAAGTTTTATGCTGTTCCATCACAATGAAGTACTTACAAAAATATTTCTTGAACACTTCTAACCCATTACATGTTAACAGCAGCTCAAAAACGGCTCTCCCCAGGCAGACACGTTCATATGGAGCTCAATTTGGCGGGAACCCACCTCAACTGGCAACACTTTACCGTTAATTTATTTTAACAGCTTTATTGGTAAATTTTAATGACTAGTTTAGTTTAACCAGGATTCGACTCTTCAGATAGATGTGGGTGGCTCTTAAAAGAGCCGTTGGGTTTGTTTCTTCTGGTTGTAAAGGTTTACTTGGCCTTGGCTGCTTTCTCGGTCTTCTTGGGCAGCAGGACGGCCTGGATGTTGGGGAGAACACCGCCCTGTGCGATGGTGACTCCGCCAAGCAGCTTGTTGAGCTCCTCGTCGTTGCGGACGGCCAGCTGCAAGTGGCGGGGGATGATCCTGGTCTTCTTGTTATCGCGGGCGGCGTTTCCAGCCAGCTCCAGGATCTCAGCGGTCAGGTACTCGAGCACCGCCGCCAGATAGACTGGAGCTCCGGCGCCGACGCGCTCGGCGTAGTTTCCTTTCCTCAGCAGCCTGTGAACACGGCCCACTGGGAACTGGAGCCCCGCACGGGAAGAGCGAGTCTTGGCCTTAGCTCTGGCTTTGCCGCCGGTCTTTCCACGTCCAGACATGTTCTTCTGTATTTCTCCTTTCTTTACAGATGAAGATGATCGTTCTAGGCTGAAGTCAACTTTATATACAGGACGCTGCTGCTCACTCATTGGTCAGCATGAGCATTAGGAGGGTTGTCCAATCACTGTAGAGCTCGTGTCAACGTTCAGTTTGCACCGCAAATTTCCACTTTCCGACATGGTCCCTTTCAAAATAAGGCGAACATTTCAAATTAAAATTTTGAAAATACATGCTACAAATTGTATTTATTGTGGACAAATAGAAACAGTAAAACTTTTTTTGGAATGTAAAACTTATGCACATCAAAGCCTGATACGGATTATAAATTTAAATATGAATACAAGTAAGTTAGAAGTAATGCAACTACTTCAAAGGTAAG